TGAAGAACAAAACGACAGCAACTTGTCTGTTCCCCTTCCCCCAATTCCCCAGCACTGTTCCCATCCCCCCAATTCCCCAATAAAAATTAAAAAAAAAAAAAAGTTATACGTGGGTTTTTTACTGCATGGGCGTCCATGCCCCTAACCTTCTCATTGTTGAAAGGTCAAATCAACTGTATTTTTGTTCTTATTGTCTTCAGAGGAGAAAAGAAAAATAATTATGTAACTTCTACAATACCCTTCAGCTCGTAAGCAGGGGACCTGGGATTTGAACACAGACTTATTTGCCTCCAGGCTTAAGTGTTTAATCCCCACAATACAGGGACAGTAAACCTTTCTATTTCCTCCTTTAGGAGTACGAGGCATCTGACTTCCAGAACATATATATAGCTCATAATAGTTTCCATCATGTGTGTGCGTGTGTTTATACACAGAACAGTATAACACAGAACAATGCCCACACAAAAGTTCCCACCATGAAGTTGAGCAGTAACATGGAGATTTAAAAATCTGTCCAGTATCTCCACAATACTTAGCAAAATAAATGAGATAAATGCCACCTGCCTGGCTAAATTGCTACCACCCAAGGATGCACATCTCTGAATTACCCTAGGTCTGGGGTCGGCAAACTGCAGCTCGCGAGCCACATGCTGCTCTTTGGGTACGTACATGTGGCTCTGAAGTAAAATTGAAAATGAAAATAAAACTATCATAGTTTCATTTATAAATTTTTAAAGGATAGTAGTCACATAATGGTGATTTCATTTGTTTTATGGCTCTCAAATAATTTTTAAATTGTTGTGAGGGACAGGATTGGCTCTTCCGTCTCAAAAGTTTGCTGACCCCTGGTCTAGGTGGTCTCCTGGAAGTCATTGCACAGTTGACTATTGGATAAAATTTATCATGGGAGAGAGTCAACTATTGCCGCTCTTTCTAAAATAGTTACATTTGATCCCTTACGTGTTTAGATGATGTAAGCCATTCCTATTGCAGGATGGATGAACAACGCACGCTTCTTTGATTTGTTACCCTGGTCAGGCTAATCTTACTTATTAATAACTAAGTAATGGAAAATCTGCAATTTTGTATTTACTACTTAAATAACTTTACAAAAAAATTACCTCTTAATCCCTTCATCTAAGCATATCTAGCTATATTTTAAAATGTTTCACTCGTCAGTATTTTCACGTTTCAGTTCACTTATAATTTTTATGCTACTTCTTCCCACTTACTTTCACTTTTCATATACTTATTCTTAGATTGACCATTTTTAATGGCTGTTCCAATATTCTATAGAACTCATATATCATAAAATATTTAACCACTTCCTCACCACTGGGCAATTAGGTTATAATGCTATTATAAATAGTGAGTGCTTTAAAGATATTTTCAAAAATATAATCATTATTTAAAAATATTTCCTTAAGAATAATTCAAATGATTAAATTATCAACAAAGAAAATCAACGAATTTTAACTCACCAGCTTCTGAACAAAACCGTTTGGCTTCTGAGAAACTACGCAACGCCTGGTTAGCCGTATAACAGTTGCCCTTGTACTGGATCCACTGTGATTCGTTCCCCTTTGCTGCTGGACATCTCGATGAGGGTCCAAGCGTCTGAGAAGACCTCTCTTTAGCTATAAAAATGTGAGACATACTATAAAAATGCACAGAAAAAAATGACTGACTTTTTTTTATTTTTTATTGTAATATGGCCGCAGGGATAGAAAAAGACAGTCCAAGGAATACAATCAATAATGCTGTAAGCATTTCTTAGGGGGCCAGATGGACCCATGTCCTTTTGGGGAGTCCACTTCATAGTTGATGTAGAGGCCTGACCACCGCATTGTATTTATGACTGACTTTTAAAAATCTGATTAAATGCCCTTTTTGGAACTGTGGTTCCTGTGAGTAAGAAGCATTCAATTCAACGCACACATCAGAGAAAGCCAGAGCGCATTCTCTAAGAGTGCGCATTCTAAGTAGCTTTTTTGGAATACCATTTTTCAAACTTAGAAGACAGAGGAAAGTACTTAGCCCTCTCAGGTGGATTTAGACTAAATTAAAAACAATTGGAAAGGCAGAATAGAAAAAGAAGCAAAGACAGGCCAGGCTGGCCTGTACCTACTTTGAAATAATAATTAAAATTCTTTCTTTCTTTGGATTCATTTTTATTTTGAATAATATAAACCTAATTTTGCCTTGCCATATACAGAACTACTTTCAAAAATCACAATCACAAGTGAGAATTTGGTAACATGTTTACAAAGTGCAATATATCAGCAAAGCAAAATCTGTCTCAAACAAACAAACAAAAAGAGTAGGTATGGCTTCTCAGCTCTTAAAATTCCCCTGGTTTCTATTTGAACTGTTTAATTTTCAATTGTGCTGTATAACACAAGAAGCTTGTGTAACGAGGCCTACACCTCTGAAAACCCATTATTAATTCCAACAGAAGACAGTATGAGACCTGGAAAAGAAATTGTCAACATCCTATTGGTGAGGTACGGATTATTTGAATCAGATATCCGACCTGGTATGATCAGTAATCTCAACCCAAACTATTGCTTTGTACACAGTATGTATGGTCTGTATGGCCTTCAGTTAACTGATGGCTTTTCCTGCTTTTTTCTCCTTGTCTCAGTTTGGTAGAGTTCTTATGTGTGGTCCTTGTGATTCCAAAAGAATGGCTGCTGCCGTTTCCTTCTTCAACACGAGGTTTTCTGATGGCTCTTAATTCCTTCTTCTGCTTCTCTCTCTTCTGTTTCTCCAGCTGGGCTTGATCTTTGAACTTTACTTACTTGATTGGCTTTTGCCTCCCTTCTTTCCACTCATGCCCTTAGTTTGAGCTCTAAGTCTTCCTTCAGTCTGACAGTTGATAAACGCCTGGGTAAGTTTCCTCATGGCTGATAATCAAAGCCCATTTGCAAATTCATCTGTAAAGTCTGTGAGACTTGTGACACCTCTTCATTAACACTGGGGGGAGATGCTACTAGCAAGCTCTTGCTTTTACCACTTGTGAAAACAGCTGCTTTCCCAAAAATGTATGGCTGAAGACTCCATCGTTGCACAAAGCAATGATGTGTGTTGCTTTGTTAGATGCAAAACATGTTGAACATTGGTTACCAATGCATGGCTAGGCCTGGTGGGCTTTTCTGAATGGCTTGACTTTTTAAGAATGTTCTCCTTACTTCTTATACTGGGAACATATGGAAATACATTATCTTCAAAGTGTATTTGTTTCTAGTCCAGTCTGCAACTGGGTTGTTTTAAGCTGCATACATTTTCTTTCTTTACTGCTATTCATGGAGTTTTGCCTCCAATTCTTGCTTTTTTTTTTTTTTTTTTGCATGGGCCAGTATTACGGTAAGTTTGCTCTATTCTTGTTCAAGAAGAGTCAGTTTTTTTGTTTTTTGTTTTACTGTGGTAAAATAACATAAAATTTACCATCAAAACTATTTTTAAGTGCATAGTTCAGTGGCATTAAGTACATTCACATTATTAGGCCATCATCACCACCATCCATCTCCAGAACTTTTTCATCCTAGAAAACGGAAATTTTGTACTCATTAAACAATAACTGCCCATTCCTCCCTCCCTCTGGCAGCCACCATTCTACTTACTGTCTTTATGAATTTGACAACTCTAGGTATCACATAAAAGTGGAATCACACAGTATTTGTGCTTTTGTGACTGACTTATTTCACGTAGCAAAGTGTCTTTAAGGTTCATCCATGTTGTATTGTCAGAATGTCCTTCCTTTCTAAGGCTGAATAATATTCCACAGTACGCATAGCCCACATTTTGCTTATCCATTCATCCATCAATGGGCACGTTGCTTGCTTCCTCTTTTTGGCTATTGTGAATAATGCTGCTATGAACATAGTTGTACAAATAAATCTGTTCAAATCCTTGCTTTCAGTTCTTTTGGGTATTCACCCAGAAGTGAAATTGTTGGATCATATGGTAATTCTAGGTTAAATTTTTTGAGGAATCACCATCCTGTTTTCTACAGTGGCTACACACCATTTTTATATTCCCACAGGTAATGTACAAGGGTTCCAATTTCTCCACATCCTCTCCATTTCTGCATGCCATATCATATAGCTCATGCATTCTATTTTTTTCCCTCAAAGATTACACTTATTTTCTGTTCCTAACACCTGAGATGTCAGTTCTCGATTGTGCCTTTATGCCTCGTTCTTTATATCATTCTACCATTCTTATATTCACTTGTTTCTCAAGATAAGATTTTCACATTTTCTTCTGCCTGACTCTGTTCAGTTCCAATTGTTGCATCTTCTCTTGAGGATTCTTCAGAGTGAAAACAGGGCACGCACGGAGACTCAGAAGTTTCAGAGACCAACGCCGTCACCATCTCTTGGCCTATCCAGCACTCTCCCTCAACGTTCACCCTCTACCCACCCAGAATGACCCCAAGCCCAGCCCCTGGGGGAAAGAACGCCTCCCTTAGGTTTTAAGGATCATATAAGTATGAAAATGCTTAATTACGCAAAGTTAAACAGAATTCTTTACTACAAGAAACTCTCAGAGCCATCAATATATTAGGTCACTGGTGGCATTTCCCAAGTTTACATGCTGTAGAATGCTTTTTAAAAAGGAGCATCTCAGTCTTTGAAAACACTGCTAAGTGAAACTAAAATTCACAAATTCCAAAGTAAAACTTACTTAGTGATAGAACAATTGAGAAAGTCTTTGGGAACAAATCCCCTAAATGGGTATATTGTATTTATTTCTCTTCTCAAAGTATCAAAATTATTTTTATAGGATTTATGACTAAACCTTATTTAGAAATCTGTAAAAATTCCTTTGAGTACTTAATCAAATGCATAAAACAAATGTCATATTTCAGTAAATACACAGTTATTTGAAAATAAGTCTTACATTTTGTAGGTTTATAACAAATAGCACCATCGTTAACAGACTTGCATTTGTCATGTTTCCAGGTTCCTTTTGGATCCAAAAGAACACAATTTCCAGCAGATATTTTTTCTTTCCATGGGGTATAGTCAAATGCACTGCCATCAGACCATTCAAAATTTGATTCACTTCCCTGTTTTAAGAATAAAGATAACCTGAATCCAGATGTGTGACTTCAAAAAGAACATAAACAAGAGCATACATACTTTAAGACATATTGGAATGGAGTGTTAATTACTTGCTTACAAATATTGTAGGTCTGGACCTATTTGTAAAATCAGGAATTTACTTTTGATACATTGTTTGAAACATACGCTCTGGCACAATTTACGCAGGATTTATTCTTTTTAAGGATGAGTTTATATTATAACACTTGAAATTAAATGATGTGCAAATGGCTTCTGTTTGTCACAATTACAGATTTACAATCCCAACATTGATATTATTCTAAGTAATGTTTTTTTATGTTCTATAGCTTTGTGGTGTGTGTCTCTGGCCACATTTTTTTCATTGTAGAAGCCATCAAGTAGCAGGGGCTAGAAGAGGAAAATACTTCCCAAGAAACTCATATGGGAAGATTACTTTTTATTTTTCCTTGATTCTATAATCCTAATTTGCCATCCTTTCTTTTATTTCCCCCCTTTTGTTCTAAAGATTATTTAAATTAGGCCATCAGTTGTAATCTCAATAGTGTATTTTTTGTATACTAGACATTATTATAGGTACGTGATCATAGTAATTAATAGGATTCAAATAGTGGCACAAAACATGTGTTTACCAGCAGAAGATTATTCTCAAATAGTGCCAATTTCTAAGGGGAAAATGGGCAGAAAATACACATTTATTAGTGCTAATGTTAAAAATTTTATTTGGTACCTTATATACATTTTTATGTTAATCTCCAATGTAATCCTATATAAGGAAAATGTTATCACTCTGATATTACAGATGAGGAAACAACCTTGCAAAAGTTAAACAACATGTTCATGATCATGTAAATGGAAAACCCGCCATTTGTACTGGAACTCAGATTTCTTTTCTCATCCTCTGCTATTTACTCCCTTTTCACGAGCTTTCCAATTGATCTGCTCCAAATAGGTTACAGGAGTGTTGCTGCAATGTTAACCCACTGGATCCTGGCAGTGTATAGGGCAGTTGCAGAGCTGGCCCATTACCATAGCGTACTCAACAAATATAATTCGCTATTTGTTCTGTGTGTGAAAAGATAAGAAAGCACTATGCTATGCAAATTGAGTCGCAGGACTTAATCTGAAGTTAAATACTCTGAACTGATAGTTTATGTTCAAATTTCCAAACCTCTAACATATCTGGAAAATTTCTGGAAAACAAAACAATACTTACATCATGACTTGAGAGCCCAACCCATAGTGGAAATCCATCACGCTTTACAATATCTTCCAGAAAGACCTGGCCATTTTGATCATGAACACTTGCCAAATGACCTCCACTTTGAGAACACATGTTCAATGCTTCATACCATGTAACTTTTTTTTGAATAACATTATAAATACCATCTTCATATGGAATAAACTGTGGCAGAGTAGTATTAAATTCTTCCTTGTAGTCAACTATAATATTTAAATTCAGTGTTAGTGATTAAATTTGAATTATTAAAAATACATATTTTGGGTTAAGACTGGTCATGCAATCACTTCAAAAGTTAAATAAAACTGGGCTTCTTAATTAGAAGGGAGGTCAAATACATACTTTATTTTTCTAATTGCCATGGCAAATATAACAGGCTCTTAAATAATACAGTTTTCTAGTTGATTTTAAAAAAAGGCATAAATATTGTCTTTCATTTAGGGAGCTCACATAATAGTTGAGTGCAGAAAAAAACAACACCTGAAATGAGGGCAAAACATTTTTTTTTTGTTTGTCAGACCTAGAATACGAGGTCTGACAATGAAGTTCGTGAACTTGCCACCATGTGCTTATGTGTGACTGACTAGAGAAGGAGAGATTTATCTGAATTGAGGGAGTCAGAAAGCCTGCTTGACAAATTAGGTTTCCAGAGGTTAGGTTAGGGGAAATTAAGACTAAAACAAAAATAAGGTAACCAGAAAGTAAGCTAAAAACAAACAAACGAAAGAACAATAATAAAACTACAATGATGAGGATATTTCAAAGGGACACAGGAGCCAAGTGAAAGATCTCCCAATTGCCAAAGCTGAACAATTTGAGCAACATATTAAATAATATAGTACATTGGATTATAATCCAAGTATAAAATAAATAACCATGAGCCCATACTGAATAAATTTTAAAATGGAAGAGAATAGACAAGTCTTCTGTGCAGTAGAATTCCAAATAATTTATATAGATATTCCCTTCTCAGGAAGGTGGAGAATAACTCTCCACTCTGTAAGTGTGGATTGAGTAAAGTGACTTCCTTACAAGGAGTACAGTGTGAAAAGGAGGAAAACGCTGTGGAGAAAGCTGAGAAATACTACCTAGAGCCAGTTGATCAAGGTCAAAATCAATAGAAATGTCATGTTGACAGCATATGCCTTCATATGATGTGATGAGAATGAAACTTCACTCTGCGGCTTTTCCCTAAATCCATAACCCATAACCCCTGTTTAATCATGAGAAAAACACCAGCCAATCAAAATTGAGGGACATTCTATAAAATACATGACCAGTGCTCCTCAAAACCATCAAGGTCATCAAAGGCAAGAAAAGTCTGAGAAACTGTCACAGCCAAGAGGAACCTAAGGAGACATGAGGACTAAATGTAACATGGTATCTTGGATGGAATCCTGAAAAGAAAAAGGATATTAAGTATAAACTAAAGGAAAAACTAAGGAAATCTGAATAATGTATGGACTTTAGTTAATAATATCCTATTAGTATTGGTTTATTAGCGGTGACAAATGTACTATACTAATGTAAGATGTCAGTAGGAGAAACTAGTTGTGGTATTATATATATGTAAATTCTATGCACCATCTTTGCAACTGTTCTGTAAACCTAAAACTATTTTAAGATGAAAAGTTTACTAAACATGAAAAAAAAAATAGAAAAAAGTTGAAAGACTTCTTGGCAGGAAAAAAACATAAATAAAGGTGCAAATGAGGATGGGCATACACTGTACACAGGATAATTAAGAGATCAGCCTGATAGAAAAATATCCTTACTGAGCCAAGAATGGGGGAAAAATTGGGGCTGGGAGAAAGCCTAGAATTTTAGAATGGACAGTGATTTCTAAACCATCTCCAAAGCTTACATGGACTGAAAGTAATTGATAATAGAAAATCCCTGGAGACTGTCGATGGAAATGGTGCTATAGGAAGTTATCCTGCAGCACTGTGAAGGGAGAAGGCCAGCCTGGACGTGACTGGGCCAGGCTCCATGTTAGCAGAGGGCTGAGAGCAGAGTGGCCCTAAAATAACTGTTTTTAAGCTGTGGAAAATTTAAAACTGACATACATTTAAACATAGACTTATTTAAGGAATCAGGCAAGATTTAGAGACATTCATTTTTAGCCTGGAATGTCAAAACTTTACCCACACATACTGTCCTATTCATAGCAATCTTATCCATCCTTCAAGGCTCAACCAAGTTTTACCTCTTCCATGCATTCCTTGTTTTCATTGATCTCTTTTGACTTCCCAACACACTTAAACCTGTACCAAATAACCTAAGACTAATCTACATAAAACAATGATGAAGACATTAATGCTATTCTCCCCCAACTACATTTTACTCCTTGAGATAAATAAAGACCATGGCACCAGGGACCGTGTCTTTCCTTCCTCTGTAAACTCGGTAGCACCTCCCATGGGACTGAATACAGAGGAAGCCCTCAAAAAATACAATTGCAGGATTCCCACCAGTGGAGCCAATGGCCTTATATGCTCTTTTTCTGTGGTGGAAACTCTATATTAGCATACTTACCCATTTCAATTTTACAAACAAGGATGCTGTGCTGATGAAAGTAATGTATTTCTTCAATGACATTAAAGGTTTGAATATCCCAGAAACCATCGGTACTCAAACCAGCAAAAAACTGGCCATTTTTTACATCTGGTCTTCCTGTTCTCCAGTGTGTATATGACAGCGAAGTTTTATCAGACCACATGAGAGAATTATCTAGGGAAGAAACATTTTTTCTAAGCGATTAACTCAAGACTAGAATTATAATTATGAGGTTAATATTTCAAACTCAAGTTTTCTATTTTCTTTCCCACCTCCTAAAAGGATGTATGATTATGTGTATCCCTCTAAAATATTTTATGATTATAACAGTAAATCGTGCTTATTTTGAATTTGTAAAGTAAAATTATAAACATAAAAATTAATATTTACTTATAATTCCACCATCCTGCAGTAACTTTACATTTTGTTATCTTTCATCAAATATTCATTTCTCCTACATATATGTTTAATTGCAATGAAAATGAATGTAACATTTTACAGAAAATATTATATTATAAAACTAGTGATAAAAACCTCTTCTATAGACCTAAACCATGCACAATTGTGCACATTTATGATTTTTGGCAAGGGTGCCAAGACAATTCAATCATGAATGAGTAGTTCCTGGGAGAACAGAGTATCTGCATGTAAAAAAACAACAACAACAAAAAAAATGAGGTTGGACCCTTTTCTTTCTCCATATACAGAATTAACTAAAAATAGATCGTAGACCTCGACGTAAGAGCTGAAACCATAAAATTCTTAGAAGAAAACATAAGGGGACATCTTTCCATTACCTTGGGGTAGGTAAAACCTTCTTAGATATGCATAAGTGATAAAAGAAAAAAGTAGATAAATGGGACTTCATTAAAATGAGAAAGTTTTGTGCTATCAACTATGTTATCAAGGAAGTGATGGGAGAAAATATTTGCAAATCATTTATTTGACAAGGGACTTATATCCAAAATATATGAAGAATTCTTAGAATTCAACAATAAAAAAAGATAATTTTAAAAATGGGCAAAAAATGGGCAAAGGATCTGAACAGAGATTTCTACAAAGATGTCACAAATTACCAATCAGTACAGGAAATAATGCATAAGAGCATTAATCATCAGGGAAATGAAGTAACAAATCTCAAGAGATATCACTTCATACCCACTTGGATGGCTATAATCAAAAAGACATAAAAACAAGTGTTGGCATAGATGTGGAAAAATTGGAACCCTTAAGGAAAAATGGTACAGCAGCTTTGGAATGTTTTCCAAAACATTCTGTCAGTTCTTTAAAGGACTAAACAAAAGACCCAGCAATTGCACTGCTAGGTATATTCACCCAAGAGAAATGAAAACATATATCCACATAAAAACTTGTACATGAATGTTCACAACAGCATTATCCATAATAACAAAAAAGTAAAAACAACCTAAATGCCCATCAACTGTCGAACAGATAAATGAAATGTGGTATATTCATACAAGGGAATGATATTCAGCCATAAAAAGGAATAATATATTGATACATGCCACAGTGCCACATGCATTAACCTTGAAACCATTATGCTAAGTGGAATAATCCAGTCACAGAAAAATCACATATTGTGCGATCTGATTTATATGAAATGTCTAGAGTAGGCAATCCATAGAGACAGAAAATAAATCAGTGGTTCCTGAGGTTTGGGAGAGGGGGTAGGGAATGAGGAGGGACTACTAAGGAGTATGGCGTTTCTTGGTGGGGGAGTGATAGGTGCATAACTTTCTGACTATACTAAAAGCCATTAAATTATATACCTTAAATGGCTGAATTATATGGTATGTGGCTATATCAGTAAAGGCTATGGAAAGACAAGCTACTAAGTCTATTAAAAGTATGAATTGGTATGAAGAGTGATATCATTATTACCTAGAGATACCTCTTGTTGTTCTGGTTATTTTTACTTTCCACTGATTACCATCTCCCAAGGCATCATACCAAACTAACCATGTATCTGCACCAATGACTAGAAATACTGTACATATGATTTGGTTCTTGGTTGCTGCTTTGTATCACCTCATGTCCCCTAGTCCCTCTTTGCCTCTTCCCAAATGTTAAAGTTACAATTTTCTGGCTAATATGATAAACAATGGTATATTTCTGAAGTTGCTATACAAAAGGGTCACTTTTTCACTTGGCTTGAAGTATCTTTCAGTTGACACGTGGCTTCTCTTAACTTCTATTCATGGCCTTACTTTTAAAAAGTCAGAGCTTAAAAAAAACCCCACCAAAATCCTTTGTAAAGGTGGTATATACAATTAAATATTATTTAAGTATATTGAAGTAATAAAAAAACCTATAGATATAAATTAAACCAGTGAGAATAAGATTTAAACCAAATTTGCTGTTTGCTTGAAATATCTTTCTATACATTGCTCATTTATCTATATATTTTAATAGAAATTTCGCTACTCATACGTTTTATTAAAAAACTTAGGATAATTAAAAGCAGGTCTACAGATCTGAAAATACTTTTCAAAATACAGAATACATTGTCAGTTGTTTCTGATAATATAATTAACAAAGTACATCAGAGGGCATGCATAAAATCTCTAACTATATCCTGGGTGTGTTCTCCACTGCTCCATGTGGGACTACCGTTCCCTCAGTCACTTTCAGATAAAGTCTGGGAACTTTCCACCTAGTTTTTCTCCACTCCCCCCTCCCTTGACTTTCCTAAATTTAAGGTATTCAAGTGTCATTGGAGAAAAGACTTGGGCAACTAAGCCCTACTATGATGAGCTCATCTTCAACTGGCAACCCAAGTCTTACCTATTGTTTGATAGCTTAATTTTTGTTAACTCATCTGCAAGCCATAAGCATTTAAGAAAAGGCTTTGCAACTCTAAGAAAGAAAAGTTAGATCACACAGAGAAGGCTATTTTTAAAGTGGTCAGATTTGACCACCCTCTCTCTTCTTTTCCTACCCTCTCTCTGGCTATCATTGTCCTGTGCCCCTTATTAAGCCCTGTTTTTGGGTAAATGTACGCTTTTGATGCTTTATGCCCACAGAATGGTTTTCTATTTCTAAAACTTCTATGATTTTCAGGATCTTTCTAGTTGAGCATCTTTTAAATTGGACTTATCTCCCCTATTATTAGAGTCTGTGTTTAAAAATTTTTATAGCAATTATATCTTTGATATGTGGTATTTAGTCTGTCTTAGTTGCAATATTCTATTGTCAGACTATGTGAGTCATTTTCCTAATGTATGCACAAACCAATGCTATAAATCCAAAGGTGCAACATTAGTAGAAATGTAATTCTGTTTTCACTCATTCCACATACATAGTACAGATCTAAAGTAAGTATTGGAGCTTTACACAGGAGTACAGTCATTTTTATTTAGTCTTGCACTGCTAGGAGTAGAGAAGAGAAATCATTTTCCACCATTGAACTCTAAGCTTGGTGGTAAAAGAATTTTAATAACAAGAGCAGAGACACAAAAACTGTCTTGGTATTTATGTAAGTTATGCTAAGAGCATAATTATAATTTTTTATATTGATAAATATTATACTTTGAAGAACTATACTTTTACAGCTTGATAAACAAATAGTTTATAATGAAGTATGAATGTAAATACAGATTTGCAACTTACTTTCATAAATGATACCTAACATGACCCATGAAGCCATATAATTGAGGTGCAGGAGTTGCTCAAGGACAAAGTTATTCTCTTTTTCATCTCGAATACTTAGAATATGTGATTTTGGATCTGTTAAAAAAAATAGTCAACAATTTTAACAATTACTTACCCAGAACACTTTATTTTGTTTGACAGATTTAGAAATGTTTATTTCCCAGTTTAATATACTCCCAAACTTAAACAATAGCGGACAATAAGAAAAGCATGTGAATTAAAACCATCTCATTGTACTGAAATGAAAAGGTTAATTAAAAAGTTTTTAAACATTTTGATATTAAATTTGGTCTCACAGAAAAGTGATAAACTAGTAACTGAGTAGAGAATTTAAAACATTGATTCACTTCACTTTTCCCCACTTAAAGCTTATTTTGAGTTGCTACAAATCCACCTATATTAATGATACATCGTCAAAGACTATAATAACTAGAAAATCTTGGATGGGCTATAAGACACATCTTCCTTTTCCTTAGGGATCACTCTTATATAAAGGTTAAAAAAGTTTGGTATTTCCCAAAGTGTATTTCTCATGAAATTAACATGAGTTGCTCAGAAAAGGGCTACATGGATAAGAGCTTTGCAAATATTGATTAAACAAAGTTAAATTAGTTTATTTATGCCAGTATTTCTTAAAGTATACGGTAATGTACATTTGATAATGTCCAACAAGAAGCGATGGTGTATCCTTTTTCTAAGGATTCTTTTTGTAGGACATCTCTCAAGACTAGTGTTCTCCACAGCACACTTTGGGGAATAACAGCTTCATACTTTCCATAGGAACTTTCCACAAAGTTCATAGGCCCAGTGTTCAGAAGTCATAGATCCTGAGTGGATCTCATATGAAATATCTGAAGAGTCTTGAGAACTGAAAGTGTGAAATATGTATCTCTTTTAATCACAGCTGCTTTTCTATGGCTTTTCTAAGCTTTCACCACTCACATTAACCTATTTTCACATTGCCCACAGCCCAGCTTGATTTAACATCCAGTTCTCTGCTCTCCAGTGTCACTTCTTCTCCTTTTAAAGCACAACCCATTTTGTTCGTACATATAAAGACAGACTAGTTGTCTAATAGATGGCAACTCCTATAAAGAAAGAGGTAACTCCTTACTTGCTGTTTTTAATTTTAATATTTTGTCATTGGTAATGTAGAAATTAAGTGATGAATATTTTTGAGATCTAGTTACTAGTGATAATTAGAAATATTTATAACATGCTCAGGTGAGATTTTTTTAAATGAGCATAGTGTAATATATAATGACCACATAATATACTTACTCAGATTCTTGCACCTAGAATGAACATCATTTTGTGCTGCTGTCATATATACATTCTTTGCTATCATAAAATTGTAGCAATAGTTCTGAAATGGTATCCATGGAGTATTTAAAACAGGAGATGGACATCGGACACTGGTAACTGGTTTGACCTCTCTTTCAGTCTCATCTAGAAAAAGAATTAATGATATGAATACTAATTTCAGATATAAATGTAAAATCCTGTTTGTAGTAATTAGACTTGATGTAGGAAATATTCAGGAAGCCAAGAAATAATAGCCTGGTGATGCTTATCCTGTTTATACTCAAATGTAATGTGACCTCATAACTGGCTTTCTGTAAGAAAGAAATTATTTAACACAGTAATTTTCTTTCTCCTGCTGTGGAGTGAGTGGAAGAATGTGAAAAATGAAGTGCTATTAGGTTAAACACAGCTTCTGTCTTCATGCATCTCCAAACTTCAAACACCAGGCGCCACCTCAGAGAAACTATACAACCATATTAATAATGGGCACCTAACTATAACTTCGAGAATTCATCTTCAAGGTTCTGGTTACTTATACCTTTACTAATTTTAAAGGAAGATTTTAATGAAGTATTTGATGTTCTACAAAAGTTATTGCTATAACCGAAGTAAACAGAAATAGTTGAAAATCTGACATCTAGAAAATCTGATTACGGTTTCTTTTTTTTTTCATTTTGTGAAAAGGCCATACGTTCAAGAAGATGCCACTTCAGATGTGCTCTACTCAAAGCAAATCAAACCACTTTGGTATGTAGTAGAGACATTAAGTGTCTCTCACTGCTCACAACTACTCCCTTCATCCGTGAAATAGTATCTTCTTTTTACCACACACCCACAAATGTGGACCCTGGCAGTTGTAAAACCTTCTTCTGACTGAGCTAGATAGAGATTGCCTTCCTGACTCAAGCTGAATCTTTCAGATTCTAAGAAATTGAAAAGTGGAATTCAGAAACAGGCAATTCATCTCCAGTTGTGGTTATAATTGAAAGCTGCAGAGCTGTCATGTCTCACCATAAACAGAGAGAAGCAGAAGGTATATAAAGAGAAGAGTGCAGATCAGTAGAGAGAAACCGAAAGGCAAGACAGAAGGCATTATCTCTGGGGTCCTGTTTCCCATTCTGTTTCTGATTCCTGTTCTGCACAAGGCTTAGCTCTATCCCCATTTTTGAGGATCTAAATTTCCGTTTTGGCTTAAGCTAGCTTGAGCTGGTTGCTGTTACTTGCAACCAAATGAACCTTAACAGCAACTCATAGAAAAAATATTAGTTGTTGATGATAAGAATTATAAAAGAATTTCCATGAATATAAACTTTCTATAAGAATATAAACACAAAATATATACAAAATGAGGCTAATGGAGGCTTGAAATTAAAAGGTCAATTACCATCGTCAGCTGACAAAGATAAAAGATGTCTAAAATAACAAATTATGACAAAATGCTTAATATATAATAATTTTACTTGAATACAAATTTTCACAACACATTTTTTTGTAAAAAAGGCATGAATATCATTTCTTTATGATTTCAGAGCCAGATTTTACAAAACCACTCCCCCAAAATTCCGCTACTCTTGAGATTGATCGTAATTCAAGAATTAAAATATTTGAATTTAGCATACTTCCTGGATAGTAGCAAATAGCACCGGGTTGATTAGAATCACAATCAGATGTTTTCCAGAATCCATCAGTGTCTAATAACACACAGTCCTCAAGTTGCGCATTATTTACAGCCCAGCGAGTGAATTGAAGATGCTTCCCATCTGACCAACCAAAGTTGAGTTCATCCTGCAAGGAGCAGAAATACATTTCAAGGGTCAATACTTCATGTTATCCCTTTTGTATTACTTTGGCCCTCATGGTCAATCTAATAACTTTTAATTTTATCTTATATTTAACACACACTTATATAGCACTTACTATGTGCCAGGCACTGTTCTAAAACATGAACTTATTTAATCCTCATAACAACCATTATATCCATTTTACCGATGAGGAAACCGAAGGCATATTACACATGAAAGTCATGCAGAATCCAAACTGCAGTGCTGGGATTCTACTCCAGATCATCAGGCCCTAGCGTTCATTGCCTGAATTATTACGTTATGCTGCTTCACACATAATCGGTACCACTGGTTGTTAGAAATCAGACAGCTAAAATGGAGTGAGGACCACTGTAAGCACTGATGAAGTTAGAGACATGTAATCGTGGAAAGAACATGGGCTTCAGAGCTAAGCATACCTAGTTTTGAATTCCAGTTTGGTCACTTACTCATTTTTGATTGTGAGTTTACCTCGCCAAGTTTCCATCCCCTCATCTATTAAATCAATGTGACACTTAACCTCATGGCTGGAATCAATGGGATAAAGTGTAAAACACATAACTCATTGGCTAGCTGGTTCACACTCGAAAAGCTACATATATGTTACCTCGCTTCCTCTTAGCCCCTCAGAACTGTGGATCTCATACCGCTGTTTTCATGTTTGTCTTTGGGGAGAAGCTTCCTTACTCACTATATTCTATTGTGCACTGAAAGTCTTTACATCTTGACAAGGGCCTGACCACCCACCTATCTTGAGAGGCTTGACAGAGTAGGTACAGAAGTCTAGAAGGTGTAGTGTGGGGTCCAGCCCTGTCTGAGCTTCCCCATTGTGCTGCCAGAGCACCAGGCCTTGCACAATGATCCAAGGAGCTAAGCTTTTCTGGGGCTCAAGGCAATTGTGCATCACTGTTTTATTTGGAATATTGGGCAAAGGCCACACACCTTAAATAGCAAACATGGTCAAGGTTCAATACCATCAATGTTTCATTCTGAACTGTTCCCCACCAGCGTTCCAGTTGCAACCTTGTGGCCAGCTAATCCCCAGGCAACATGGCCCCAAATGTGGCCCTTTGGCCATGTGACATTGCCTGCACTCCGTATTGCCCTGGATTCAGTCCCCTTTGCTGCACTCCCAACTAACCCAGGTCCTGGGCCTTTGGAATTTGTATTCCTCGTGGATAAATCATCCCACACTGTCTATCTTCCTTACTGAATACTAAAGCTCTTTATTAAGACTATATGTATCTCTTTACTAAATTCTTGACCTTAATTAAAACCTATCTCGTCCAAGAGGATATTTCCTTTCAGTACCCACAAGGGAAGGCTGTTTGTTTTTCCATTCCCAAATATAGGGCTATGAGAATGGGATGGTAGGTATTTTTATCTCCTTCAGTCACTTCCTTTGAGGTTTATGCCCTTCTTATCATTGCTAACTCTCAGGTTCCCTGCCTCTCTCTGACATTCACTGAGGCTCTGGCATTCTCCCTGGTTCCTCCCTGGCATTCGCTAAGGAGATGCTGCATGTCTTGCTCTGTCCCCTGGTCCCACTACTGATTTAGGGACGTCTATGTCCATGTGGATGACTCACCCGTTTCCCAATCCTTCATGACTTCCTCTACTTGTATTTTTACTTCTATGTGCTTGAGTGACCCACTGCCACAGCCATAGTCTAGAGTTAACAGGGGTCGGCAAACTGCAGCTCGCGAGCCACATGCGGCTCTTTGGGTACGTTCCGTCTCAAAAGTTTGCCGACTCCTGGAAGAGCCAATCCTGTCCCTCCCAACAATATAAATATTATTCGACAGCCATAAATATATTTTTACAAATAAGGAAAATTTAAAGTAATATTATAAATTAAACTATGACAGTTTTATTTTCCTTTTCAATTTTACTTCAGAGCCACATGTACATACCCAAAGAGCTGCATGTGGCTTGCGAGCTGCAGTTTGCAGGCCCCTGGCAGCTATTCCGCCTCAAAAATTTGCCTAGCCCTGCTCTAGACTTTTTATGTGCCCAGAACTGCTGCTTTGCAGACATTGTAAATATGCCTTAGTTCAGGCCAACATCATGTCCTGCAGGCATTTTTTCTACAAGAAATTCTAACTGGTCTCCTATCTCTAGGTTGCTCACTACCTCTCCCACTTTCTGCTCAGTATAATTTTTCTTAAGTAAAAATCTGATATTGTTGCTACCATATTTAAAAATCCTTTAATACCTTCACACTGCTTTCAACACAAAGTTTTATTTATTTGTTCCCTGTCATGTTCCAAAGATTTAAGGCAGCTTTTGAAGATACATAATAAACAGCTACATATAATCTGTTAAAATAAAGAGTGAAAGAAAAAGGAGAAACATATGTGAAGATTAAAAAATAGGATAAGAAACAAGGCCCAAATCATTAAGTGGGGGAGAAAAGCTACAAAACAGTATGAGGCCAATTGTCTTAAAAATAAATACATTTACATAGAAAAATAACTTGAAGGATATATACCCATTGACTAAGCCATATTTATCACTAGGTACTGGGATTACAGGTGATTTAAATATTTTTCTTTTAATTTATTATAACTTTAAAAATGTTTCTACAGTGACGATATTGCTTTTGTTGCAAAGGTTTAAGGTGCTTGAAACTAGGAAATATAATAACTTATTACCACCCTCACAAGAGACACAATGATGGGTTTCACATGATACCAAACACCAAAAAGAAAGTAAGTAAAAGCAATGTTATGAAGAAACTGATATTGTGAGGTCTGGGGAAGAAGATTAAGCTGATGATCTGGCTGGACCTGGGGGTACATTTAAAAATATCCAGAGTCTTGGAGAAACTATCCTTCAAGCAATTTTTAAATACTGTGCCTTTTAATTGAGGTTCTGGTAACTGCTGGTGGTAATGAATTCAAAGTTTGTCAAAGGTAATGTTTACTTGAATATATTCCCCAGTGTAGCCCTGGGTTTGTGCTAGGACTCAATTGTCTTCCATCACATTTCCTCCATGCAGCCCTAAAGCTATCTTTGTATTTTCAGGGTTATCCTAAGGTATATATATTGGGTTGTTGGAAAAGTCATGATGCATTTTTGTAACGAAAAACACAGAAAAAATACGTCTTGATTTTCCGAAAACCCAACACATAACTTACGTTAGTTTCATAATGCAATGGACTCCTCTCTCCTACTCTACAAATCACCCTCTCTCTGAGAGCTGATTAGGAATATTGGTGTAGGTGACATTTATCTAACTTGAGAGTGCGGATACAAGGGGCAAAGGTCACGTCGCCATCTTTGTAAATGGCATCCCCTACGTAGTGCATAAGATATGCAGCCTATGCACCAGCCCTGTATCTTACCCTTCAATACATCTCAGGGGGCAGAGACTGGAAGAATTACATAGAAAACCTAGAAAAGAGGCAAAAATGGCCTATAATGTTGAGAGGAATACTATAGCTTTATTTTAAAAAACAAAACAAAATCAACCAACCCTATTAATTATAAACAAAAGTTTCCATAGCATAAATATTCCCATTTGTGCTACATGGAGGTAGTTTAGGGAATTAACAGGAGACCAGCATTCCTTGCCGGGCTCTGAAATAAACGAAAAGTGCCCAAGACATCTATCCAAGATCAGGGCTTGAGATGTGGCTAAACATTATTATTCTCATCCCTTCTTAGGAGGATGTAATTTCACTCTGCTAATTCTGAAAGGGACGAAAAGGATTCTTTAACACCATCCACAGCACTTCTACCCAAACAACCCCATTTGATGTTTTAATTCTTTCCTTCATTGGTTGAGGAGACAGGGCCACTCCTGATTCCAGCTCAGTCTTTCAGTGGAATAAACAAAAAGAAGGGCTCGGCTATAGATGTCCACTGAACTCTTCCTTAATTTAAACAATAAAGCATCAGAACTTCCAGCACCGGAAAGACCACTGCCCCTGAAAATTACATACTTCACATAATTCATTCACTGGAGCAACATTTTATGATTTCCGGTTTCTTTTAGTCTTACATGAGAGAGGTGAGCAATAAAACATGTCACATCCCACCACCCAATGTTGGCAGTTGGGGTGGAAAACTTACGTCTTGACTGGAGAGTCCAATCCACAAGGAAGCGTTATGAAGAACGGCCTGCACAGTTAGGTATGCCTGCTGGTAAGGGTCTGTGATGCTCACCAGACGCATGTTCTGTTTCTCACACTCCCTTAGAGCGTCGGACCAGGTCAGAGTCTTCAAGATTATTTTGTACAGATTATTTAGATGCTTTACAGTTTCTGAAGTATTCTTCAAGGTCGGTCTGCCTCCAATTTCTGTGTGTAAAAGAAAAAAAAATACCCCCACAAAATCCACCTACTTGGCAAGTCATTGGGCATTTTTTCAAAATTTCCCCCCAAATAATGTACTTTAGATATGACTTATCTATTCATTTGTTTTAGATTTTCGGTGGAAGAAGTAGGTATGTCTTCCTGTATGCCTTAGGTAAAATGTATGAGCTACAACATTTGTTTTCTAAAATCAGGAGAAAATTCTGTTTGAGTTGATCTAACTTAGGAAGAAGAAAAGCTATAAATAAAAGTAGCCTGCAGTAAGATTAGCATTTCAGGTTGGTGTGAAATACTTCCTTTGTTTGAACTGCTTCAACAAGAGAAGGTGTTAGGTGTTCCATTACAAAGTTTTTATCTGGGAGAGCTCCCATGAGAAAACGTACAAAACCATCCAGAGAGGGTATATTTAAATTATTGCTTTACAGTACTTTTCTGAATAAGGCAGTGAATAAAAAGTATGAGACAAACAAGCAAAGATTAATTTAGCAAAATGTTTTCAGAAGTACATGGGTTATCTACTTCAGGTTCTCATCACATAACAAAGGTTTTTTTTTGTTTAAAATAATTTGTTAAAAACTTATTGTGATCAATGAAAATAATTTAATACCTCTTAAAATATCTTTTTGAAAATATGGATGATTCCTATTTTTAAGTATACATTTTAGTTTTATTTGGATTACAGGACGTCATGGAGAGTGAACCATTTATAATGCTTCACATCCTTTTTTTAGTGCTAAATTTAACGTGAATGTTTATACTGAACTCAATTAAAAACATTAAGCTTTTCCCCCTCCTTTTCCCATGATAGAAAGTAAAGTCTGAAAAATGTTAGTGCAGAAGGGAAAATAAAATTCAGCCATACCTTATGATCATTAGTCGACTCTTACTAATCAATTCTGTCTGATACTTAATTTTGATATTTAATTAATATGGCAACGATACTTGAAAAAAACCACATTCCATTTGAGATAATCTTGACTCACTGAGCCAATATGAATTTAGTCATGCTGAAATTTTATGGATGACATATGATTACATATTAATACTAATTCATTTATAAGATTTTTGTGAAAAAGTACTGTACATAGCTAATAGCATAAAATGCCATAGTTATCTAGATAATAATCCATACCTGAGTATTTCTGACACAGAGACAGAGTATGGTGTTCACTGCAGGAAGTAAAGTTCCATGTTCCAGTAAAAGGTGACTTCCGGTGGTTGAGCATTAGAGCACAGTGGTAGCGGGACTCTTCATCAAAAATCTAACCAAAAAGGCAAACAGGCATAGGCAGTCATGAAACGAATAGGCTGAAGATCCTAGCAAGAAAACTTTACATCTCTTTACATTCTAAATTGGATTTTTCCTGCTATAAAAGATTCCATTAAGAAGCTATAAAATCCCTAAGAAAATGCTGATAAACTTCCAAAGCATAAGAAAAGGACAATTAACTTTAGAAATTATGAAACAAAATAGTGGCAATGTTGAGAAATGTATCTTCAAAACAGATAAAGAGAAACAGTTAGAAATGAGACAAAACAGAATTACCCTAATATTTAACACTCTGCTATCATTCCTGGGGAGCAAAAAAGTAATGATTATTAACTCAATTTATTAGATGTTTATAAACATTTTATAATGACAAATTGTGTATCACACAATAGAGAGCGCACCTTGAAGCTTTGATCCTATACTGGTCACTACAAAACTTCCATAAATATAAGTATCTATCTAGATTTCATTCTCTAACCACAAATCAATAATAATAGACATAAAAATTTATTCAAAGTATACTGTCCCTATACTTTTCTGTATGTTTGAAACATTGCACACTTAGAAAAATAAGAAAAGCTTATCCCAGGAGATACAGATTAAAAAACAACAACAATTACACACATGCTGCTCAATAATCATTAAACCAAAAAATAAATACAGGAAAGAATAATATGAGCAATATTATAAGGGATATGAGTAAAACTTTATGTCGAAGCAAAGGTGTATTATTATAAGTGTAGTCTGTATTTTAAAGGAAATACGAACTAAGATTAGAAAATCATCAAAAATATAACTCCAAGAAAAATAGGATAGAAAAATGTAGTAGTATTGGTAAATATATCTCAAGTAATAGGAATAGAAGGTGGAGAAAAGGGAGGAGAAAACCAACAACATATAACATTTTTTGTAAAAATCTAAATAAGAGAAAGGAAAAACAATCAAAATAAGATATGGGGACTTGAAAATATAATAGCATATATAACTTTAACACATTTGAAAATCTAAATGAAATAGACAACTTTCTTGAAAAATACAAATTCGTATAAGTGTTATAAGGAGAGTAGAAACACCAAAATGTACCAGGAACTTTGAAGGAAATTGAAAATTCATAATAAATAGCTCATTTAAAAAACTATGTGTCTGGGCCGGCCGAGTGGCGCGATGGTTAAGAACTCGCTTGGGATGCCAGAGGGCCCCGGTTCGGATCCCACATATGAGGGCCAGTGACACTGCCCTCTACAGCTAAGAGGCTGAACAACAGCTCAACCTGGAGCTGGGTTGCCATGAGTCGCTGGCGACGGCGTAGGCTGCAGCCCCTGTGGCAGTGGGTTGCCGTGGGCTACTATGTGTAGCCAGCAGCCGCAGTGAGCGGCCGTCCAGAAGCCGGCGACTGATCTGCCTCGCCAGGGAAGAGCGCAATGATGGTGCCAACTTGGGCCAGTGAAGCAGCGTCCTCCACAACTAGACTGAAGAACAAAATGACAGCAACTTGTCTGTTCCCCTTCCCCAATTCCCCATCACTGTTCCCATCCCCCCAATTACCCAATAAAAATCTTTAAAAAAAAAAAAAACAAAAAAACAAAAAAAAACTATGTGTCACATACTGTGCTAAAAGCTTTAAATGAATTGTCTTATGTAATCCTCACATTATATTACAAGTTCAACAGTATCAGATAAAACATTATAGACAAAAAATTGAGGCTTAAGAAAAGTTAGGTGAACTTCTAAAGGCATACTAAATGTCTGAACGGAGTTCAAGCCCAGACAACCTGACTCCTAAATTAGGATATCAACTATTTTACTAAATCCTTTTATTATTAAAGAATGATCTCTGAAAAGGATCCTAACATCATACGGATTTGTATTTAGGTAGTTCCTTCAAACTTTCAGGGAAAGATAATTCCCCAGGCTGAATCTTAATTTTAAAACACAAAGGCAGAAAACTAGATCAGTTCGTCTTATGAACCTACCACGATAAGAAAAAAAATTGACAAAATGGCATAAAAAATTAACTCTATGAACAGGGATGAAAACATTCCCAAATAAAATTTTAACAAATCTAATTCAGTAGAATAGTAAAATAATAATCCACTTGAAGCAACTAGATTTTATGACAAGAGGATAAAGATGGTTTAATATAACATCTATTAACATATTATACCACATATTAATAGGCCTAATGGAAAAAATTATACAACAATTTCAACAGATGCTGGAAATAGGTTTTAGAAAATTCAGTACTTATTCCTGAATAAAAATTCTAGTTATAGAATGATATATCTTAAAGAGTCAACATCATATACATATAACAATGAAGGATTGCACACGGTTCCATTAAGTCTAGATCATGTCTAGGATGGTGTTTATTACGCCTAGTATTTACCATAGTTCTAGAAGTCCTACCATATGTAGTGAAGCATGAACTGTTATTTGCAAATTATGAACGTCTAATTAGGAAACCTAAGAAAATCTATTGAAAAACTGAGAATAAGAGCTTTTAGCACGATGCAAGCTTATGAAATAAATATATAAAAATTCCCAAACAACAGCTTTCCTATATATCAGTAAGAAAATCAAGAAAAAGCTGCCATTCTCAATTGAAGTAAAAAAGAGTACTCCTATAAAAACTTCTCTGAGAGATCTAAAGGAAGACTTGAATATATGGAGAGATATGTTATACCATATTCTTAAATTGTAAGATTAATAAAAAGATGTCAATTCTCCCTTAAAATGTTGTCAAATTCTCATCAGAAGTTTTCGATTTAATTGTTTTACTAGGAAATTGATTAAATATCTGGAAGAATGGACAAGAATAGCTAAAAATATTTTAAAGGCCTATATTAAAGATAACTAATCCTATTATGTTTTTTAAATATGGCAAAATTATAGTATTTATATCAGTGAGTATATCTTATACACATACACACACTTCATATATAATATGATAAAGGAAGCATCCTATATTGCTTTTGACAAATGGACATATATGCAATAAGTAATGTTAAACAATTGGCTAGGATTAGGGAAAAGGATTAAGTAGTCATTGACAACATAGGCCATGTATCATGCTGTCAGAAATAAAAGGCAACCTAAAAAACAAAATGAAGAGGGCCCGCCGAGTGGCGCGATGGTTAAGAACTCGCTTGGGATGCCAGAGGGCCCCGGTTCGGATCCCACATATGAGGGCCAGTGACACTGCCCTCCACAGCTAAGATGCTGAACAACAGCTCAACCTGGAGCTGGGCTGCCGTGAGTCGCCGGCGACGGCGTGGGCTGGCCAGTCCCTGTGGCAGTGGGTTGCCATGGGCTACCGTGTGTAGCCAGCAGCCAGCGTGAGCGGCCAGCAGCCGCAGTGAGCGGCCGTCCAGAAGCCGGCGACTGATCTGCCTCGCCAGGGAAGAGCGCAATGATGGTGCCAACTTGGGCCAGTGAAGCAACATCCTCCACAACTAGACTGAAGAACAAAACGACAGCAACTTGTCTGTCCCCCTTCCCCCAATTCCCCAGCACTGTTCCCATCCCCCCAATTCACCAATAAAAATCTTTAAAAAAAAAAAAATGAAGAAAAGAGAAGCATACATTTAACTACCATTAACATGATGGACTTTCTGACTTCAAAGCAATGGAGGTAAAAAAGGGAAATGAACAGATTTAAACAAATACAAAAAAAAAATCAAAACTTATTTCTGTAATATTTTTGGTATTAAGACCTAAAGGAAAAAACCTAGGGAAATATTTGCAACAAACAAAAGAAACACAGGGTTAGCACACTTAATATTCCCTAGTCATAAAGTCAGTAAGAAATAATGAATGGGCAGATGATAGATGAATGGGCAAAGAATAAGAATATCCACACTTGATAAAATTCAAATTACTACTGAATTTATAGAATTTATAGTGGCTTGTTTTCATTAGAAATCAGAGAAATATAAATGAAAATATAATATAATTTAAGCCACCAAATTAGCAAGAATTTTTAGAAGATAATGCTCTTTAGAAGCAATGTAGTAGGGACGCTAAGAATGATGGCTGTGCACGGATAGGCTGCATGGTCACTGGCAAGTTACATGACTCTCTATGCCTGTCCCTACATTTCTAAGATAGGAATGGAATAAAAGACCTTTTCACATCTATTGTGCAGATTATATGAAATAATGCCTGTGATGCATTAGCAGAGTGTGACACATACTAGCTACTCAACAAATGTTAGAAATTATTAATATATGGGTATGGATAGAAGGACCATCACAATATAATGCCGACAAAAAAATAAACTCATCAATCTTTCTGGGAAAGAATTTGGTAACCAGAACTTTATAACTATTTATTTCTTTTCATCTGGCTATATGACTTCCAAAATCTATCTTAAATATAAGCAAAGATTATGCACAAAGATGTTCACTGAAACACTATTTAGGATTACGTAAAACTGGAAATAATCTAAATACGTACCATTGCTTAGGTAAATGATGGTGTATCTATCCAGAAGTACCGTGCAACCATGAAAATGCTTATCAAGTACATCTTTTAATGGCATAAGAAACTACTTATGATATAATACTAAGTGAGAAAAGTAGAATACAATAGTATATATTCTATATGATCTTATCTATCTCAAGAAGACAATATATGGAAAAGCCCCAGAAGAAAAAAATGCTGAAATATTTATTGTGAGTTCCTAGATCAAAGTTCAAATATGTGTTGAGATTCATTTAGTAGATCACGAAATCATTGCAATGGATCTTGATTCACATTTGTGATAATGAAATAGGCTAGGCTAGGCTAGGCTAGAATAGGATGGGATATAATGAATAGATTAGAGTAGTATAGAATAGAAAGAAATATCAATATGCATAAGCCTGAAACTATTGTGTCAATGCACAATATTTATATTTATAATTATATATCTATCTATGTGCTGGATGATTTAAATATATGTGTCATGATTAAAAGTTTAAAAACCACTGGCCTAAGTATAAGTGGGGTAAAGGTTGATATTTTTCTCTATTGTGTTTACTTTTCTACAACTGTCAAATTTTCTATAATAACTAAGGGTTATTTTGATATTTACTTTGTACATAATAACATATGATTCAGAGTTCCCTTAGCCACTAACACTAACCTTGAGCAAACTTACATTGCATCAGGAACATTAGTTGATTATTATCTAGGATGTATTTTTGGAATTCGACTTTAAAGTTAATTTCTTAATCTTTGTCCTTTGCGCTAAAGATGGTGTGTATCCAGCAAATAGGGAAGATAGAAGCAGTCTCATGGTATAGGATGACCATTGTTAATATAATGCTGTTTTCCCTTCTATAGCTTCTTTACATTCAGCTCTTAAGGAAAAAGGATCGCTAACTCCATTTCTGTACTTTTTGCCTCAAGGGACTGAAGTTGACAGCTCCAAATTGAAAAATGTTAAGTAAAGCATTTATAAACTACTTCTATTGGCAATTCATTGCTTGGTGGTTTTACATGGTTGTGAAATAAGTGCTATGGATCTGATGCTATTGTGGAAAAGCAGGGCATATGGTACATGAAGGCTCACAAAGTTCCAGTAGTTGTTCTTCTTGTGACAGCTTTATTGAGATATAACTCATATATGAAATAATGGACCCATTTAAAGCACACATCCCATAGTTTTTAGTATATTCAGAGTTGCACAATCATTTCCCCCAATCAATCTTAGAACATTTTCACCACCCCAAAAAGAAACCCCATCCCCTTTCACCATCATCCCCAATCCTTTCATCCTCTTTAGCCTCTGGCAATCACTAATCTACTTGCTATCTTTATAGATTTACCTATTCTGAATGTTTCATATAAATGAACTCACAGAATACACCCTTGTTGTTAAACCAATAATTATGGAAGACTTGAGGATTTCACATAGCTACATAATTGATTCAAAACAACTTACGTTTGTTGGTATTCTTAGCATCCGACCAACCAATAATGGGTGAAAGTTACTGTACGTCAGCTCTCTGTTATCTATCCATTTGTTGATCCTTTCATAGGCTGTCCAGCGCAAACCAATCCATAAAGTAGCTTCCATATCCAGAAGCAAGACTGTAATAAAATCTGTCAGAAAGAGATTTTTTTAAAAGCATGTGACTTACTCAGGTTGCAAATATACTAAAAATGTCAATGAACACCTCTTACTTATCCAACTACCAAGATAGTCTTTGACCTACTCTATAAAAAAAGTAGTGTAATTGGATTTTAAAAATATGTTAATTCCCCTCAGCCTCCCAAAACTAACTTGGACCCCACATCACAATAGAACATGTTTCCAAAACAATTCTGCTACCTTGTTCTCTCTGGTTCAACACTGTAGGAAGGGTGCCACCGTAAGTGCGACAAGTCTCGCTTGCTTCAGAAAATGTGACAGACTTGGGTTTGATCTTTAGAAAACACTGCAAACAAAGAACATATATGAAGCATAAAATTCCAGATATGAGGAAGCTTGCATAGGAAATAAGTGTCTCATCTTTTAGAGGGCTGCTAATTTTGGGTCTGTGAGACATGGAAATGTACACAGTAGTACCAGAAGAACGCAGATGTTCACTCTCCGTTTAAACAACGGAAGCGTGGTCTTCAAGCTATTTTTTTTTTCAAGCTATTTTTTTAAGTCTCCCATTTATTGAGTGCTTCCTTTGTGCTAAACAGTTTGCATAATGTTATCTCATTTCACTCTCACAGTGGATGGGGAAACTGAGGCATAGGGAAGTTAAGTAACTTTACCCATAAGTGAAATAGCCATACAATGATATGGTCAGTGCTGAGACTCTGTTACATCTGATTTCAAAGTCTGTACTCTTAATTATTGCCTCCTTATATATTTTTAAAAACCCACATTTTAAAAGAAATCATTCCCATCCTGCTGTCCCTTGGCAGACTATTTTAATTCAAATTTACATCAACTGTGTAAATTAAGTTAGTCTCAGGACCTTGGGGGTAAAAAAAGATTGTCCTAATTTTAAAAAGTCAAAATATACCCCTAATATTTTAACTTTATGCCAGATGATTTCAGCTGTCAGACACGTCTCTTCCTTTTTCTTTTCGATATTATGACCATGTTAGTGTGGGGTAGTATGCTCCAAATTGTGTTCCTTGAAACATTCTACAAAATGTTTCCATTTCTGCCTCCTGACAGGCTGGAGTGGCCAGTGAGATATAAGTCATTGGGAGGTTTCTAGGAGACTCTAGAGAAAACACCCTGAACTTGAGTTTGGAAGCCTTAGGTTAAAGATGGTAGATCTGAAAGACAAAAGGAGCTTGGTTTTGAAGACTTCACAGAACTTACATATCAACCCCAGGCTACTTACTTTCACACTTCTTTTATGTAACAGAGTAAGTATTTTAACATACTGTAGCAATCTCTCTTTTTAGCACCTAAATGCATTTCCTAAGAGATACATATACCGATATGGATTATACATCTCAAAGAAGCAAATATAGAATGCAGCATTTCTCATATCTATTTAATCATAAACTCCACTTTGGAAGCAAGATCAATGATTAACATTTGGTATGTGTAATTCCCAAAAAGGAGTTTGGGAAACGCTGGTATAATTTGATTGGTAGATGCTGCTTGGATGTTTTCTTTAAGGGGGAAAATTTATCAGCCAGAAACGTAGTCAGTTTCTGATATACTATAGAGATAGTCCTGACTATTCAATATATTACTATCCATTGACAGATCAACTTCAGCAAGTTAAGCATTAGTATTGAGTTGTCGGGAAAGTCATGAAGCATATTTGCGACAGATGGCACTAGTTCATTTTTGGAAGTACTAGAGTCATTCACATCTATGTTATTGCTAAGTCATTTGACAGCTGACAGTTCTAGCTTCATTCTAAAAAAAATTGAGCAATTTGGTTGAGTTTTGGAGATTTTACAACAAGTTGAAGATGGAAGACCAAACTGCATTTTTGCCATATTTTACTGTTTTACTTCTAGAAAGGAAAGAACGCGCGTCAAGCTTGTGAAAAGTTGCATAAAGTTTATGCAAATTTATGCTCTACAAGAACATCAGTGCCAACGATGGTTCACAAAATTCCATGCTGATGATTTTGATCTCAATGATGTTACTCGGTCAGGGAGGCCCACCGAGGTTGATGATGACAAAATAAAGGCATTGATCGAGTCAGATCCACGTTACACGACACGAGAGATTGCAGAAACATTGAACATCCATCATTCAAGTGTTCATGGCCACCTAAAGAAACGGGGATATGTAAGCAAGCTCAATATTTGGGTTCCGCATGAACTCAAAGAAGTTCATTTAATGGGGCATATAAACACCTGCAATATGCTCATTAAATGCGAGGAAAAAGATCCTTTCTTGAAGTGACTCATAACTGGTGATGAGAAGTGGATTGTTTACAACAATGCGGTGTGCAAACGGTCTTGGTCCTGATTTGATGATTTGCCTCAAACGACATTGAAAGCAGACATTCATCAGAGGAAGGTTATGCTCTCAATGTGGTGGGATTTTAAAGGAATCATGTTTTTTGAGCTCCTATCAAGGAACCAAATAATCAATTCAAATGTGTACTGTTAGCAATTGGATAGTTTGAATGAATCCATCATCCAGAAATGTCCAGAGCTTGTTAATTGTAAAGGAGTTGTGTTCCATTGTGACAACGTGAGACCACACACAAGTTTGATCACCAGTCAAAAATTGTTGGAGCTTGGGTGGGATGTGTTGTCACACCCACCATACTTGTCTGACCTTGTGCCGTCAGACTTCCACATGTTTCGCTCTCTTCAAAACTCCTTTCATGGTATGTAAATCAGCACCTTGTTCAGTTTTTCGCAAATAAAGACAGGTCCTTCTATGAATGAGGAATTATGAAGCTCACTGAAAGATGGCAAAAGGTTATCGAACAAAACGGGCAATATATCACTGATTGATCTTTGTTCTTTATATAAATAAATGACCTTTGGAAAACATAAGACAAAAAAAGTCATGACTTTTCCAACAACCCAATTGTAACAGAATAGGAACAGTGTTTTAAAAGACCTGTAGGCATGACTAACTTGAGAGTTAGTTAACCTGGTTCCTGACCATGTAGAGGATCAAGTGAGATGTTTGAAATATGCAGCGGCTGTCTTTGTGAAGTTATTTTATGGGTTGCCATTCTGTCACAGGCCATACAGCCACCACAAAAGCAATCATCATTTACACAATGTAACAATTCTCTTTTTACCTTATTCTGAAAAGGAATCCAATCCCCAGAGCATTGTATTTTCGCCGCAGAATCTGGACTATATTTTTCCAATGAAGATACATTATATTTTTCACAGATAAAGGGCAACCTGGTGTTACAATCTGCTGGCTTATTTAAATCTGAGAAATAAAAAGCAGGATTAGTGTGGTGAGAATTTTCTATTCAACACATTTTAAAAGTAATCCAGTAATAAAGGAAGTCTCTTTAAATCAACCTTCCCCAAATGGTTAAATAGATATTCCTTTTCTTCTCCAGCCATTTTTGTCTTCCATTTCTATTCATATCGGTAGGTGATAGCATACCAATGTTGCCTATAAAAGTGCACACATTTGGTGTAACAACCACAGTTACCCCAGTTCCTGACGGCAGGAAATAGAGTTGAGGAAGGCTAATGAGAGGGAAAGGAAACTAAAGTATATTTTAGAACTGTTGCCTGTTTATCTTTGCAAATTTGTCTATATGCTTATTAGTTATGAAAGTGGTAACTTTATTTCTAAGTACTTGTTTTAGGATATAGGAAGTCAAAATATTCACTGAAAACACCTTTATTTGCATTTGGAATTTGAGTTATTCTCATTAGCCATAAATGAAGTTACCAAACATATAATCAAAATGAAAAAAAATTTAAGCTAGTAACTGAACCTGCATTTCACATATTATATAATCAACATGAAAGGATTTGGAATTAATTTTACCCCTAAGCCAAGTCCTGGGAGAAATGTACAGGCATTCCTCTCCAAAGGTTAAAGGAAAGTGGTGCCATGGGTGTCGTGAGCTGAAAGAAAATGAGAGGTTTGATTACTCATAAAGTAGTTACATGTTTTGTTCTGTTTTTTTACTATAATTTTACTTCTAAATTTAATGTGGTACCATTATTTTATACCACTTTATTCCTGATGCTAACATGCAAAAGGACTCGGTTTTCTCTAGTCGAGGCAGTTTACGAATTAATGTTCAAAATGAGTTATAAATAGTAATCCATTTAGTAAAAGGAAATTTGAGATTGCTTCTTTCAAATGATTTCAAAAGTTTACAAAGGCAGCATCAAGGAGATCACGTACTACATAAAATGATCCATTATGGGCTGCTGAGTAGTTCTCACCCACCACTTCTGCTCTTCATCAGATATCTGAAAAAAAAACAACAACCAAACATCCACCCTTACATGTGCTGAGTTTTATAGAAGAGTTTTGATTTAAATACCCTGTCCCACCATAACCACAAACCACTAAACTTTCCAGACATTCCATGACTCTGGTCTCTAAATTACACAAACTAGGTCCTTTCACCAAAAGAGTAGTTTAAAAATTCTTTGTGTATTCACAGGCCCCATTTTGTATGCAGAAAATACAGTTGCTGTAATTATGCACATTCATTAGTTGCACATACAGTGCCCTATTGCAATTTTTATCAATTTTGGCAAGATTTTTGAAATATTTTTTAATGGAATAAATATCAAAAGAAGAAAAATATTTAAAAATATGTTCTTTTGAATTACATTTGCTATTTTGTTTTTGATGGCTTTTAGTCCCACAAAGGATGTTAGAGTAGCCAGAGAGCTGTGATTGCTAGCACAATACAGGACCGCTTCTTCATAGTTCAAGTGAGGATCAGCAACAAACCAATATTCACTCCCTTCTATTACAACTGGAGGTCCGTGAATTCCAGCACGCTCTAAAAGAGAAGAATATCAGAGTTATGACTGTGCAAACCAAACTGCACCCTCTCAACATGGATTATTGTCCAAAACTATTTATACATCGTAATCCAGTTAGATTACTGGCTCTCTTTGCCCAAGGTACTGCTGCCTGAGAGGAACCAAGGACTCCTGAGCCAGTGAGTGACTCTGCCATCCAGTCACAGAGAAAGACAAATCCAGCCTCATAATCTCATCCCATCCCAGCCAGCCACCTTCCCTGCCTGGACATACTTCATCTCACTTAAGACGTGAGAGAGCAAGCTGGCCCTTAGGCCTGGGTTTAAACAATTAAGTAAACACATTATTGAAAAAGTAAAGCAGCACTGGCTACATTTCAATTTTCTTAACTCACCTGGATTGTACCAGTCTGGTGTTTTGAGAGGACGCCCTATATAAAGAAGAAAGCAAGTGGCTTAAGTTTCGTATCCAATTACAGATCGTGGCTATAAATGCCTTTAATCTAACTCAAGAGGACTTGTGGTATTGCTGAGTTTTGCCCATTTCTGGCTAAACCCTTTCCTTTCCTGTTATGATTGCTTCCGTTTGAATTTTGTGGGGCCTATGCTATCGCTGTTTTAGCAGCAATCAAAAAGGCAGGTCTGTGAAATATTAATACAGTATTATTAGCAGGTATTCTGCCTTACATCATGGAAGTCACAAAGGAAAACTAGATAGATAAATATAGCTAATAATTAGAAAGTACTAATAAGTAAATGAATATACTTTAAAAACACCATATAAATTATAGACTAACATGCTCTCTTAGGTACTTTGGGCTCAGCATACTCAATGTTCTCTTACCTTTTGGAATCTGGCACACCCATTCAAGTTTTGTGTCACAAGCAAAAGGCCTTAAATATATAAATTCTCGGTCATAGAAATACCAGCTTCTTCGCCATTGCCTATCCATGACCTAAAGGAGAAACAGGATCACAGAGTCTGTACGCCCTATGGTCTTTCACTCTATTTTACCTCTAGCACCTAAGGTATTTGTTGAATGAATGAACACATGAATGCATGAAGTGTTGAAACAGTAACAGCCTAAGCAAGAGCCTTCAAAGGGTCTGGTACAGGGACTATATCATAAGGTCATGTTTATGTCCAAAATGCAAAGTATTGGTGTTTTTTTTTTCTGTTTTTGTTGATATGAAATTGTAGACTCTTGCACCTTTAAATTTGGGGAAGATCACGTCAGAAAAGAAATATTTAGTTCAGTGGTTTCCAAACACCTGCCTGTATGAAAGCAGATCTGTGAAAAGTGACATAAAAGTCTGGCCTCAGGGGCCAGGCTCCTTCCCTAATGTTGCTCTCTGTTCTTAGGACGTTGCCCTCCTCAACATGGTCCAAGATGGCACTTGACAAATTCCAGCCAGTAAGCAGGGGAGTAAGGAATGGGGAGGGCATGACCTGGGAGGAGCGTCCATCACTTTTTGGACAGTTGTCTCTTAAGGCCAAGATTCTGGTGGGTGCTGTGGCAGGGGGGCTAAGTTTCTCCTTCTAAAACACTGCCCTGGCCGGCCTTATTCCTGATGCAGGCTGCATCAGGAACTCTTTTATTTAGTTTTTGGGAGATTTTTCGATCTTTTCACACGAGGACTCTCCTTACATAGTGCATCAGTGTTCTGGAAACTTCACAAGCTCTCTGAAGTTTTCACTTTTTCATGTGTTAAACTGGGAATTCTATAAAAATGGCATGATACTATACAGTAACACTTTACCATGGCCTTCTCAGTTCTTGTCTCAACATTCCTATAACATTTCTGGTCAATTGCCGTCTTGAATCTCTTTCTTGGGCTTACATAACAAAGAAAATATTATCCAGATGTCTCTTCCTTCCTCATCTTCTTACATTTTTATGTGTTGCCGAGTCCCTCAAATCTACTTCTTGGCCCTTTGCGCTTTCTTTTTATATACGTTTTCTTCCAACTCTAGTCTTTTGCTTTCTACTTACTGCAGGATATTTCTTACTGCTAGCTTGGATTCAAAATATCTAAATGAAAATGCACCATTTTCCCATAAACCAGTATCTTGTTTTACTGTTTCTATAAATGCCTAGTCATAAAGCATAGTGGACCCAGCCACATGGGTTTAAATTTTAGTTCTGTAACCACATAAGCCACTCAGAGTTCAAATATCCTCCTTGTAAGATGAATTTGGGGTAACAGTACCTACCTCACAAGGTGTCTTAAGTATTAAGTGACATAATTTATTTTACATGCCTAGCACTGCCTCGCTCATGAGTTAAGAAGTGTTAATGGCCGTTATCATCATCATCATCTTCACCACCAAGACCATCATTATTCTCTCATAACACTCTTGCTTTTGCGTGTAACTTTATACATTGGCTGCCATAACCCTTGTAATTGCTTACTGTATTTATCGCCTACTAGACTATAAGTTCTTCGAAGACAATGGCTGTTTTATACCTTGTCATAGATATATCCCCAGAGCATCCCAGACTGCTTGGATATACTACTGATGGAACAAATACACAAATGAATTCGACAAAGGGAGATGCCTAACTGGTCTTTTATGTTTTCTGCTCCTATCTGTTGCATTTTGAAACCTGTCTTCAAGATGAATCTTCTCATATCCTCTTTAGTTCATGCCAAAAACCTTTCTTTAGTTCATGCCAAAAACCTTTCAATACTGTTGCCTACCAAAAAAACTGTACAAACTCCTTAACCTGGCAGCAATCTAATTTCCCAACTTTGTTTTCTTCCAAACCACCAATAAAAACTTCTTGATCTGTATTCTGTTCTGCTCACTGCCTTAGCCTCTCCTTTCCGCTCCTACTTTATTTTATACCACTTCCTCATACCATTTCCTCATGAGAAAGCCTTACCCTATCCTACCTGACCAAACCCCATCCCTCCTGAAGGCCCAATTCAAGTCCCACCTCTTTCTGGAAATAGGCCACAGGCATCACTTTCTCTTCTGTGTTTCATTAGCTCTCCTCAGCCCACTTATTTGGAGCTTATTACTGCATAGTAATAAGAGTCGTCTTTCTTGAATACGAATTTTATCTTCTCAAATTAAGTGTAAGTTAGGTTGCTCGAGGGCCAGTCCATGGGTATACATCTTACCTCCCATCACAACTAATATCATGCTCCACACACAAAAAGCACTTCATGGAGCTGCTGCCTGACTGCACACAATGCCAGCTTTATTTTTAAAATATGCAGATTGCCCAGCATTGTACTGACCTTGACAGCAGCACAGTCTCTGATATCATAATCCTGCTGAAACTCATTTTCCATGATCATAGTGGACACCTTAAAAGACAAGAGAGGCTTGAGAATTTAAGACTGATATATAAATATTTGCAATTTAGATGTAATTTACACAGTTTTAATAACCCAAGTGCATTCCTATGCCATTGAAGGAAAACTTTTTTCATCTATTTTTTTAACATCAGGATACTAAATCATGAGAGGACCTAGAAAATGTTATAATGTCAACAGTTTCCAAACAAGGGAAGCTACAGTTTTGGAAGTGGAGGGGTAACAGTGTATTAAGTTCACAGTTGGAATCACATAATCAGGAGCTTGCAAGACTTTTTTTTCTTCTTTTATTGCATGTACTGAAATGCTAGTAATTTGATGAACTATTCTCAGATATGTTCCAACTTGGAAATGAAAGTGAAGGGATTTTTTATTTAGAAAGAATAACACAATGGTAACATGGAACAAATATTTAATATCTGAGAATAATCTGTTCCTGTAGTGTCACCTAAAACTTCTCTTTAGGGTAATGTAAACATCTGAAATAATATTTAAGGACATTTTAAGGTACCCCCAAATAAATTACTTCCCCCAATAAAGATACTTTCTTTCTTACATAACCCTTATATTTTTAGATATTAAAAATAAAAGTTTCTCCTTACGAAAAAAAAAAAAAAGAAAAAAAATCAGTTGTATCACCCCGAAGATGACCACTATATCTGTATATCTATATTCTTATATTTTTGGACTATATAGAGAGAGCCTATACATATGTTTATTTTTTTTAACAAAAATGAGATTAGTAATTTCCCCCCCATACTTCATATTTGTGAATCTATTTCCATTTCAATAGATACATCTACAAAATTAATTTAATGGTTGTATAGTATGTGGATATATTATTTAACAATCGACTTCCTTGTTATTGAAACAAATACTCTTTCCATGTTATCCTAAACAAGAAAGTTAAACTTACTGGTGTGCGATCGCTCCATTGCCAGGATCCTTGTAAGTCAGGGCTTCTTTTGTTCAAACCTACCCACAGCCAACGCGGGTTACTACGTAAAAAGGGAGTGTTAAATAAATTTGAGCACAAATTTGGCAAAAATATTTAGCATTCACAATGTCTAAAATGCTTAGGACATGTATGTTTATTCAGAAGACCTGTTACACACTGAAAAGCACAGTTTCAAGCTATATAAAGAAGTCTTCTGGGCCGGCTGAGTGGCTAATTTGGTTAACAGCACGAGCTCTGAGCAACAGGGTCGCTGGTTTGATTCCCACATGGGCCAGTGAGCTGCCCAGGAGCTGAGCTGCCACTGAGCTGCCAACAGGTGGCAGGATGGCTCAGCTGGTGAGAGCATGTGCTCTTAACAAGGCTGCCAGTTCGACTCCCACATGGGATGGTGGGTTATACCCACCCGCAACTAAGATTGAACACAGCACCTTGAGCTGAGCTGCCGCAAGCTGCCCACGGGCAGCCAGGTGGCTCAGTGGTTAGAGTGTGCACTCTTAGCAACAAGGTTTCCAGTTCGACTCCCGCATAGGATGGTGGGATATGCCCACCAGCAACTAAGATTGAACATGGCAACTTGAGCTGAGGGGCTGCGAGCTGCTGACGGGCGGCCGGATGGTGACTGGACTTGGGAACTGACTAGCTGCGCCCTCCACAACTAAGACTGAAGGACAACAACTTGGCTGTTTCCCTTCCCCAATTCCCCAATAAAATCTTAAAAAAAAAAAAGAAGTCTTCTAACATGAAACCGAACCCTAAATATAGGGCAGCTATCGAAAAAGTACCACACTTGGGCCGGCCGAGTGACGAGTTGGTTAAGAGCTGGCTTGGGATGCCAGAGGGCCCCGGTTCGGATCCCACATATGAGGGCCAGTGACACTGCCCTCTACAGCTAGGATGCTGAACAACGGCTCAACCTGGAGCTGGGCTGTTGTGAGTCATCAGACACGGTGTAGGCTGCAGCCCCTGCTGCAGGGGATTGCCATGGGCTACCGTGTGTAGCCAGCAGCTAGCGTGAGCAGCCGCCGTGAGCAGCCGTCCAGAGGCTGGTGACTGATCTGCCTCGCCTGGAAGGAGTGCAATGATGGTGCCAGCTTGGGCCAGTGAAGCGGCGTCCTCCACAACTAGACTGAAGAACAAAAGGACAGCAACTTGTCTGTTCCCCTTCCCCGATTCCCCAATAAAATCTTAAAAAAAAAAAAGAAAAAGAAAAAGTACCACACTTTATAAAATTAAATTTTAATTTTTTTTCCTTCACATAAAAGCAAAAACTATTCTGCTTTGAATTTAAGAGGGGAAAAAAGTATATGATTATTCCAAAACTTCTACTGCAGAGCTTCAATATTAGACAATGTTTTCAGTTACAGTCAAATACAATAATGGCATTGCCTTAAAGCTCCTGCCTGTCCATAACACTATCAAATCTTTTCTTTAAAATGTAGAACAAACCTTTTGGCTAAATTTTTATTAAACTTGATTTTTAAAACTTATTTAATTTCCACTGCTCATTAAGTTTAAAGTAAACAAGTATTTTCTAAATCCCAAAGTCCATGGGCTATGCCAGAACAATACAATTAAGCAATCACTTAAATGATTATATTTAACACTCATAACTATTAACAAGGTACTGAGTGACATGCAATGGTGATACAAGACCTAGTATCTACCCTCAAATAGCACATAAACTAGTCAGGGAGACAAGATATATATGAACAGAGAAATTATAAGACCATTTTTGAAAGACATCAAATGTTATATAGTTTGCATACATTTTTGGTGCTATAAAAGTTCAGAATATGAGAGGTCATTGCGGACTGCAGGAAGTCAGGAAACATTTTGTGAGGTGGGTAGGACCAAAGATAGTCTTCAAACAATGGCTACTGTTTCTTTCGAGCCATAATCTGAGTGCTTACCATGTGCCAGTATTCAGATTGGCTGAGAGGGAAAAAAACAGGTACTATTCCAAGGAAGAATATATACAGTGACATATAGAGGCAGGGACACACATCGTAAGTGATTCCTTCGCCTCAGAGAAATATATGTTCTCACCAGGGAGATATTGCCAATATAAATAAAGTGATATAACCATAAAAAAAGTATTTTCTCCACTTCTGACCCAACTTGAAAATAGTCTCAAAAATGTATTATACTTTCTAGGCCTTAAAAAGTGGACCGTGTTCCATGTAAATTTTTTGATGATGCTTGCTTCTTTCCATATAATTTAACCTTCTGATTGCATATACTATGTATGATCAATACACATGAGTGTATATTACATACGCATAACTATATATGTGTTATATGGACATAAATACAACACATATTAGAAAAGGGGTAGATCAAAATCTAAATTTAATTCTTACTCTCAAGCTTAGTAGACTATATGGAATACATGGGACGTACAGCTGCAAGACCACCGAGAAATACAAGAAGTCTGCATTTAAAAAGTTTGCTAGTAAATCAAAGGCTAGAGCAAATTTAATTTTAAGTTAATTCCTCATCTTTTAATAAAATAATTGCTTTACTTCTTTCCTCTATTCAACATTCCCTCATATTTTAATACCAATAAGCACTTTTGTCTTTTCAACTTCAAGCTTTTCAACTTACTGCAATGGAATAAGAGGATTGTCCCCTTTCAGTTTTTGTTGTTATACTGTTTGTTTTATAGGGAAAGATCACCAACTTGTAGACCTAAGATAAATCCAGTGTAGACAAAGCCCAGTTTGATTTTAGTAGCCATATGAGGACTTTTCAGTTTGTGACTTCAACTAATGAGAGCTTTCTTACAGTCTCCTAAATTTATCATTCTTCCTAATTGTGGGATAGCTAAACCACAGGGTCTAGGTAACTGGCATAAACAGCATAATTAAAGTCAGAAGTCTAAAATAAAGAGGAGGTTAAGTTTGGGGGAACTTGTGCATAAATTTTTGTTTCTCTAAAATAAGCATTAGATTTTTTATCTTCTTCACACTATCAACAGTAACCAGAAAAAAGATCAAAGATCATTTGTCACATGCATTTATTCTTTAGAGATATGTCCCCAACCTGTCCACCCAATCCTCTCTTAGGTACACCTTTCCCACTTAGAAACCTCTGCATTCAAGCCCATTTCTGTCTCCTCTGCTGCATCTCAAGAGAACAGTTTTCTTAGAGAGCTGAGTTTGCCCTGTTGTCCAAAATTTCGAATCTTTACCACTTTCTGAGTTTGAACTTCATTTCAATCCAGACATTTATAATTTTCAGCTTGCATTTCAAGAAATTGATTAGTGTGTTATAAATAAAGAAAATAGTAGTTACTGTGGGTTGTTGTTTTTTTCTGTGTGGTAAGAGGTGGAAAATATTTCCTCGATTATAGTTTATTCCTGGTTTGACCTGATTTATCTATAGGCAGATAAAGAAATTGGAAATCATAATAATCATTGCACAACTCTAATATGGATTTTAGAAAATTTGAGAAAAAAAATGGTCATAACTAGGGAATCAAATCAATTGAAATTTTCTCTCCCTCTAGGAATTTCTTCTACTCTAAGCACTAAGTATACAATTTTAAGGCTGTTAGGTTAAGAAGGCATTGCATAAAAGGTTTTTACGTGTATTTGTGTTCAAATTTCAACTCTCAATCAAATTTCCTGCTGCATTTGGTTTCTAAGGAAAACAGTATCTCAGTCATAACCTGCAATAAATACTATTTGATGAGGGTGCTTAGTCTGCAAAGCCTTAGATTTATATCTAAATCCATTCATGCCACATCACAGGAGGTAGTGCACACTGCAGCAATGGCACTGCAAACAAGGCTTTCATCTCTAATCCTATGACTATTTTTGTTCTGCAGTGACTTTCCTTGGTGGGCTGCCATTAAGAGTTGCAAAGATCTTAGAGCCTTAATGGCTTGGTGCAGCATGAATCCTTTTCACTGAAATACAAATAGAGACGTGGAATGTAGATTACGAGAAGTATACAGTAATCTGACTTAACTCCTTGGCATGCAATATACAATTTGGGAAATGGCCACCTTGCTAAGAAAGGTCAATTCCTGCAATAAAAAGCTAAGGTGTTCAAGGAGTAAGCTTTAGAGTCATTTTCTGATAGAAATAGGTTGGCTTCCTTCCTTTTCTTCAAGGCATAGTCACAAGTTTGCTTTTAGAATATGTTGTCTTCCTAAGTACGGAATGGGCAAATGATCTCTTCATTAATGGGGAGCATATTAAGCAAACAACACAGTCTGTTTAACATGGCAATGTGTTAACTGCTGGGATAAGAGTATAATAAAATATGGCCCCAGTGAGTGAAAGGATTATGATTTGTTTTTTCTTTGTGCTTTTCTGTTTTCTAAATTCAGTATGCACTATTTTTGCGATCAGAAAAAAATTAAACATTGTACATTGTAAGTTACACCAAATGTCAATTAACTCTGTTTATAATTGGGAGCTAGGATTTGAGGTGGTTTTTATTTTCTTCATTTTTTTTATATTTCACAAATTTTACATAATGAACTTGTATTACTTTTTAATTGAGGGTGGGGGGAACCTCAGCAAGTGTAATCAGAACAAATCAAGAAAGATTCCTTAATTATCTCAGACTTTAGTTGTGTTTTCTAGCATAATCTGTTTTGTATATAGAAGCTCTTAAGGATCATTTACATCATATGATATTCCATTTTCCATCAGTTGATTCCCACCAATATCTACAGTCTCATTGCTGAGGACTTATCCATGGCTTCCTGTTCTAGTTTAAGTTTCCTGACCTCTTGCTTGATGTTATTCAAAATCCAGTTTGTTTATGTCAGTATTTACTTTAAAATACTTTTCTAGACAGCATGATATTGTATGTGTTAAGCTTGAGATCTAGGAGCCAGTAAGTTATCCTGCTTGAAATTCTCCCTTCCGGGAAGATCAGCAGGATATTGGAAAGGCCGTGTTCCAGAGACAGCCAACACAAGAACATGCGCCATCCAAAGCTATCACACCTGAGGCTTTGGTCATTAACAGAGTGAATGTCAGAAATGGATTATATCAGCGAAATTAGGAGCTTGTTAATCAGAAGGATGTTAGACATGCACTCTCGATGAAATTGAAGTTATTCAAGATATGTGGAATGGCTAAAATATGTAGAGACACTCTCACCCTTTATGAAAGGGTATTACTAATAGAATCTGGTGAGGCTGGTAGCCTATTAGAAATGGATCTGGGGCTTCAGCTCCAAATGGACCCATGTCCTGTCACTGAGACAGGTGGTTGGAACTGCCTGATGTCAACTATTATGGGAACAGAGTGTTGCCCCTGGAACGTTGTCACATCGACCTCAAGTAAACCTTCCATTCAAGCTGGTGAATGGTAGGAACTCCTAAAAGGACGGACTGCTGGGATGTTGTCAAGCTACAAAAAAAGTTGTATGAAACATTTTGTGCCTGCTTCAGTAATGTTTTTTAAATAAATGTCTGTATGTGTGTATTTGGTCTGAGTTTTGCATTCATTAAAATCTGCTCTCAAGGTTGTGGGCAGTAGCTAAGAAACACTCACCTCAAAGAGAACCTAAGATTAGTATATCCAAATAAGCTTAGGATAGATAGTCTGCAATTAAATTTTGTGTATTAATTTCTAATGCTAGAAAACAAACTCTAGAATACCTGAAATTCTATAATAGATGCTTAATAAATGAATACTTATGGAACACAGGTCTTGTATTTTTATCAGGCTCCCAGCACACTGTAGTGAAACTTTTTTAATGAGAAAAATACAATAGTGGGTATGTTAATGCAAATCTGGAAATCGTGGAAAATGTTAAAATATTTAAAGAAATCACTCAAAATCTTATGTCCCAGAGGTAATGATTATCTTTTTTATACAATTTAGCAGTCTACTTTTTTTTTTTTAATTGGGGAATTGGGGATGGGGACCAGCTAAGTTGTTGTTCTTCAAACTTAGTTGTGGAGAGCACCAGTCGCCATCTGGCTGCCCGTTGGCAGCTCGTGGCCTCTAAGCTCAAGATGCTGTGTTACAATCCTAGTTGCCACCATTCCATGCAGGAGTTGAACCAGCAGCCTTGTTGTTAAGAGCGCGTGCTCTATCCACTGAGCCATCCAGGCGGCAGCTCAGTTCAAGGTGCCGAGTTCAGTTTCAGTTGCGGGCGGGCGTAGCCCACCATCGAACAGGCAGTCTTGTTGTTAGGAGCACATGCTTTCACTAGCTAAGCCATCTTGCCACCTGTTGGCAGATCAGCAGCAGCTCAGCTCAGGCACAGTGTCACTGGCCCATGTGGGAATCAAACCAGCGGCCCTCTTGCTCAGAGTTCGTACTCTTAAGCTAACTCTTAACCAAATGAGCCACTCGCTGGCCCTGCAGTCTACTTTTAAATGTAAGTAGTATATTTTTTACTCTCTTAAAATTTGCTTTTCTCACCACTTAATATATTATAAATATTTACATCTGATATTTCTTTTTAAAAGAAATCTGAAAGCACAGGGAATAGTTCCAAACAAAGATCAACAATAGTGATGATAGTAAGAACCTTTACCCTTTCCTGACTTTCAGGGAAATGCATTTAATGTTTAATCATTAAGTGTGATATTGGTTGAGCTAGTCTTCTATTCTTAATTTAATAAAAATTTCTATGCTAACTGTATTAATTAAATATGTTATGTATGTGATATATTTATATATGAAGCCAGGAATGAATAATGAATTTTACTAGATCCATATTCAGCACCTATTAAAATGATTGCAAGATATTTGACTTCATATATAGAGTTCCTCGTACTGGCCCAATCTTATTTCTTGGAAGAAATCTTACATTGTCAAGGTGTGTAATTCTGAGGCATTATAATGTAGTGGGTTAAGAAAATGGGTTCTAATGGGTTCAAATATTGGATCCTTTACTTCCTAGCTATATAATCTTGGGCAGGTTTTCTCTGTGTCTCTGTCTCCTCATTTAGATAAAATGGGAATAGTAATAGTACCTGTCTCATAGGTTGTTGTAAGGATTAAATCAGCAAATAGAAAACACTTAGGACATTACCTGGCACATAATAAGCATGTTTGTTATTATATCAGTTATTTATATATATATACACACACATATATGTATATATATATATATATACATATATGTGTGTGTATATATATATGTGTGTGTGTATATATATATATATATATATATATGTTATTATATTGTTTGTTATTATATCAGTCATTAGTACTTACTTTTCCAAGTCTAACCATGAGCTTGGTCTATAATTCTTTTTGCTACTGTTGACAGGCTTTGATATCAGAATTAGACTAGTTTGTGAAAAAACAGATGCTTGCTGCAGTTTCTATGTAATAGAATACAAGCTCTTGCTTGTACTATTGAAACACATGGAAACGATCTCTTTTGTAAAATGTGAAGGAATTCACATATAGAACCATATAGTTCCCACTTCTTTATTGGAAGACATCCTTTGTAAACTTTCTCAATTTCTTCCATGGCTGTTGAATTATTGGGTTTCTACTTAACAACTCAATTGTATGATAATTTGTATTCCTCTAGAAATTGTTCATAATTGCATGTATAATAGTATAGAATTATGTATAGTATTCTTATCAATTAAAAATTTTCTCCATGAAATGGGTTTTATAATCCTTTACTCAGGATTCATTTTAAGTATCTGTTTTCTTTCTTATTTTCATGATTTAATCATCAGTTGGTCTCCCTCCCCCTTGTATATTCTGGTCTCAGATCCCTTTCTTTTTGTTTGTTTGTTTAGCTGAGCCATCCTGCCACCTGTTGGCAGCTCAGCAGCAACTCAGCTCGGGCCGGGCATCGAACCGCTGTTGCTCAGAGCTCAAACTCTTGCGCGAGCTCTTAACCAACTGAGCCACTTGGCCGGCCCCTCAGATCCCTTTCTTATGTTCTGTCTTTCCTGGCTCCTTCTCCTACCTTACCTTTCAAAATATTACTTTATCTTCCAAGAACCATCCTGCTTCATAACATTTTTCCCAATTACACTTCCCAAAAACACTTTCTCCCTCTCCTGAATTCCCATGGCCCCTCGGTACCTATGTGCTAGATTTTTCACCATACTTTTCTTATCCCTATTGTTGAACTATATTATGCTATGAAAAGGGTGGGGTCTCTGTCTCCCTCATCTTTGAATATGTCAAAGTGTCTTGCACATAAAAATACTTGATGTTCAATGACTGCTAAGCACTCAATGACCCTTTTAGATAATAAAACATGTTAATTCTGAATACCTACACGACATCTAATTTAGCATAAAAGACCTCATTCTAAAAGTATTACCTGAACTGGTCCATTAAAAAGTGAAGAAATGCCTTTATTTCATCCATATGATGGAAGCTTGGAAGGTGTCCTCCAAGGGCTTCACAGAATCTCTCGGCTTCTTCCCAGTTCCTCTTTCTTACAATTCTTTCTATATGAAATAGCTGAACAAAACACAATGTTAATTTGTTTTCTGGTGTAATCAGAAAATAGTCATAATTTTAAAGTCAATTATAATCAAATGTATGGGCCACTGAAATGGATTCTTATAGGCGTAGTGATGACGTGGGTAAATGCGCATATGCTGTGTCATAGACAGGTCCTGCTGAAAGTGTCACGAAATGCCAGCCCAGGTGCCAGTCACTGTTGCCAGAGGGATGACCCTCCTCAGCCAGGGTGGGGAAATGCTCCAACAAGATACCATGTTTCCCTGCATTTCTAGGACCTTGGGAGATCAATTGAGGCTGTAAAGGATATGTATGTACGGTTTGGGAAGAGACTTCTGCAAAAAAATGTGCTAACAATATAATTCTGAACATAATCCACTGAGCCCTGGACAAGTACAGTACTATTTTCTGATGAAGAAGAATCAAAGGGCAGACTGCACTGGTGTGTGAACATTGACAGAAGGTGGCATAACAAAGCTTGCAACTTTGGATTGTCTCTCTGGTTTGTGACAACTAATTTTATGCCAAAAGAACCACAGTCGTTGCAAAAGAAGAGGAGGAGCAGATAACCCAATGGTAGATTGAATTATTGGTCACGATTCTTCAGTTCCCTGTGATATAATTATATATTCTTGCATGGCCTCCGTGTGGGTGAAGTATACTTCCCTGTACATTGACTTGGGGCTCTGCCATGTGACTCGCTGTGATCAATGGGACGTTAGTGGAGGTAAAGTGAACAGAGGCTGAAATGTGCTCACATGGTTGGGCTTCCCTCTCAGGGGAAGACCATGAGAACAACAACCCCTGATAGCTGCTACCCATTCAGCCTGAGACCCAAATTGAAGGGCAGCAGACCCCAACTCAAAACCTGGAGCCCAGCACAGCCAACCTGCAGTTGAAAGCAGAGCTGACCATTTAAGCCCAAACTTGATCAACCAAACCTTCTACGACCCCAGAGATCTGGTTACATGAGGCTAAGTGTTTGTTGTCATAGCCACTGAATGTTGAGGTGGTATGTATTGACTTCTTTGTGGAAACAGTTGACTGACACAGACACTAAAATCAAATTTTTTACATTGTAAAAAGTGGTAGAACTCTTCCTTTGATAACAAGAATTAAAGGGATATGAGAACCACAATCAAAGTGTCAGCATAGCATGAAGCTCACCCAGCTTCCCAGAACAAAAGAACCCCAGGAAAGAGCCAGTTCTGATGCTGGCCCTGCCCTTTCGGGAAGGACATGACTTTATGTGGGGATGAGCTGTGTGACGCCAGGGGTTCAATGTCAGATGGCTTCCCAGACAAGGACTCTGTGCTCCCAAACACTGTGGTAGGTTACGTATGTGTCTGGGGAGGAGCATAATTTGTACAAGGTCATGGACTAGGATAGTAGATAGGTAACTTTATTGAGGAATTGAATGAGAATGTTACTTTACCTTATAACAAGAAAGATCAGAGGGGGGATTATACCAGCCTTCAGGACAGGAGTCTTCAGGCTTGGGAGGTGCCTCTTCAGGCTCAACAGGCCCGCTGACTTTCTTGCAAATTGAAAGTGCTCGGAAGCTCCGGCAGTCCTTTACCTCCCACTTCCCAAGAGCCTTTCCAGTAGTCATAGCCACGCACCCGCCTGGAAAACCTGGGGTTGAATTGGAAAGTTTAATTAACAATTACATTTTAAAATGAAACCCGAAACATTTTCCAGTGCCCTTACTTTTTATGTGAGCCATAGATGGAGAGAGGGAAGAGAAATATGTGATTCATAATGATGATGATGTAATGACAATAGTAATAGAGAGAAGTGTTTGCTCCTTGCCAGATACTAGTCTAAGAGGATTAATTGAATTGAATCCTCATAAAAAACCTATAGGGTGGGTTCTATTGTCATACTGAGGTACAGTGAGGAATAGTGACTTGTCCAAGGTCAAACATTAGTAAGTGGTTGATCCAGGACTGGAATCTAGGCGGTCTGTGTACAGAGTTATACCCTAAACCACTATGCTGCTTAGGATAGCTTAAGTGGTTCATGTCAGCTTTGAGCCACTTTGTACAGTTTTTAAGCAACTCAGTAAACCTCAAAACAAAATACTTCAAGATTCAGATCTAAACAAAGGGCTGGTACAATAAAGGCAGAAGGAGGTATGTATTTGTTTATGTTTATTTTATGGCAGCCAGAATTTTGTTTATTCACAAAAGCATTAAAAGATACTTTGTATTATCCGATCCATTTTCCAGATAAGGATAAGTGACTTTCTCATAATCATAGTTAGTAAGTGGTAGAGTCAGGGCTGAAGCCCAGATTTGTCTAGCAAAGTGCCATGCTCCCTTTCCATTACACCACAGTGGGCAAAGACAACAGCATATACATCCAAAGTAAGGAGGACAACTTTCAGCCCACCAAACAGAGAAACTGTATGGCCTCATGTCTCATACTTACACATGGACAGAAAGAGGAACAAGGAACTGGGAAAAATAGCAATGTGTTACCTTGGATGGGTGTGTCTCTGTTCTGACCTCTACCCATGGCTTGCCTATTATAGATCAAGTGGGTTGAAGGTAGGAGTAACAATGGCACAAAGAGCTTACTGTCCATTTTTCTGGCTATAGGACTGACAGAGTAGGCCTTGTAGCTACAGCCGGAGCACCTCTCCAACCACTGAGCTGTATCCATGAAGAATGTAACATTGACTCTCAGATGTCTGAGTGTATAATAGAAATCACATGTATTTTACATAAAAGAATATTTTAGTTTAAGATGAGATTTAACCAGGATTAATATCTGTATCTCCATTTTCTCCTAGTGAAAAGATGACTTTTGTTTTCAATTCCATTCACATTTATGATGATGACCATGTGTTACAAAATTTGTGGGCATTCTCTATTTCAAATATTGTATTTAATTATACACTCACATGATTTAATTTCTGTGTTATGAAAATTAGTCTGCATAATCACATCGTACACACACACAAAAATATAAATAATTAAAAGGGAGAAAAGTTGAGTCCTTTATAACTGCTGCCTTCTACAAAGACAAAATCCTCTAAAAAGCATTGGATTAGAAATCAGGAGATTTGGATTCTAGTAATTCAATAACCAGGTAACCTTTGTCAAGTAAATCACCTTTCTAAGCCTGTTTCTCAACTCTAAAAACAGAAGGGACTTCTGAGGTCCTTTCCAGCTCAAATGTTCCAATTCTATGGCTAATTGCAGTCAGTGCTTTAGGCTAGTTAAAGGAGGACGAACTAACTTTCAGAATAAACAATCCCTACAATATATTGTCTCCTTACTTTTCATCCATTGAGAATAATAGAAACAAACACATTCCATTTGGAAGAAAGAAGTTAAGAATCAGAGAGATCAAAATATAAAGTGCCTCACAATGAAGCTTCTAGCTTCTGCTTGATATTTACATGAAAAAGATGAAAAACAAACAAACAAAGGAAAACTAACACTGAGGGTGCTAGCTCTTTTACTGGGGTATTCCCATGGGTTTCATAGGGAAGACATAATCACTGCTTCTATTTATGGTCCCATCGATAGACTCTCGACTTGAAGATCATAATTTCCCTCACATCTCAAAGGAAGTGAAGAACATATTTGGGAGCATGCTGTATTTCACAGGTCACTGTATTCTATTACTTTAAAGGCTTAAGACACACACCTGGCTCAAAAATATTCCAGTTGGAAAAGGTTACAGACCGCTTTACTCCACCAACACTTGCCCAACTATATTCTCCAAGTGAATCTACATCTCTCAGGCCAGTCCAGAAGTATTTTCCTGGAGATGTAGTATACTTTTTAATCATATCATTCAGGTATTCTTGTTCAAATCTACAAAACAAGAGTCAAATTAGTAGCTGTTTTTACAATGATTGAATTACTATATAAATTGAAGATGCACCTTTTTCTTAGGAAGATTATTTAGCAAAGGAACCCAGAGTTCAAAGTTCACTAGCACATGTTTATTGATGGGCACACCTGCTAGTTATGGTCAGATTGCAGTTGGTTCCAAAAGGGACCTCGTCCTCGTAGATCTTGTAACAGATTTCTCCATGTCTCTTCCAGCCCTAAATCAGGGGAGAAATATGGTCAAAGTGTCTGCCAGGCTTGATGACACCCCCTTTAACAAGAAAAGTTCTTCTACACTCAAAACTTATGGAAATTAAGGACACGGCCAGGGAATTCGTACACGTGATGAGGGTGGGGTATAATTTCATAGAGAATCTCCACAAGACGGCGAACCTGCGTCAGACACAAGGTGTGACTTAGCTCTCTTTACCCCCAGTGCCTCACTCATGCTAAGAGGATAATGTTGTTGGTTGAATTATTTTTGAACAGGAATATTTTAAGTGAGGGAAGTAAATATACCAGCATTGAGGATAGTAATCTCATACATTTTTATACCAATTCATAAATAGGTAACTCTTTTTCTCATAACTTTTGTTCTGTAAGAACGCCCATATACGGATTCACTGCACTCTGACTTGCTCTAATGTAAATGAAGAGAAGCTAGTCATTCCTCTATTTTCCAAGTCTGAACTATTTAAGGCTCAACTGCCATCCCGAGCCAAGAAAGAGTAATACTGCTTAGGAAAATGTTTGTAGAGGTTTTACATACCTCATTTGGAGGACACGTCTTATCAGATTTCGCATCACTCACTGTTTCTCCCTTTTTCTTACATACATATTTTAGTTTCTCGTCACATGATTGGACTTTCCATTGACCTAGCTTTTAAAAAATAGAAAAAAAAATTGCCCACAAGAGACATTATTTGCCACATATTTAAAATTGAACTCTAGGTTATTTTAAGTCAAGATAGTTTCTTCTCATAAACTATGAAGCGAGGAGAGGAGGAGGAGGCGGAGAGAAAAGAGAGGGAGAGAATGAATATAGATGATGAAATATGAGAACATACTCCTAGAAAATGCTACCCAACAGGCCTGCATTATTTCAGAATCACTTCAAGGTCACAATGGGAATGAATTTCATTTTCTTATAAGAGCAGCAATAAAACCATCAAAGGGTACTTAGTATGCAAGTTGGAGAGAGAAGAACTCAGCCCACAAACAGTTGCTACTATTCTAGTCTTCTTCCATATGAAATGGCCAAAGATGATCCACAAGTTAAAAACCTTTGGGCATGTCAACTAACCTCTCTGTCTCAGTTTCCTCCTATGTAAAATGATGGTTAGAATAGCCACTCTCCAAGAACTCTAGAATCAAACGTTTCTTCCAACTCTACTTCAGCTTACACTTCAAAGCTCTCTTTCAAATATACTACTTAACATTTATTTTGCTTAATTGACTAAGTCATTCTGCTTTCTTCAAATTAAATTTCAATAAATCAATTGTGATAAGGTTTCTGAGAACTGAGTTTTCTAGTTAGACATTGGAATACTGCCTAGGTATGCTATCAGTTCCCTCTTTCCTATGGGAAGTCATTTTCTACCTTTGATACTCTTCTAAAGACACCTTAGATATCCTTTTAACTAGAACACCAAATGTGACATCCTTCTAAATTAATCTTTGACACCTTTCCAAATACACCTTTGCCCTTGAAACACTTCTAAATACACATACCTCTTAATGCTTCCACTTAAGTTTCTGTAGAAGTATGGGTGATATAATTAGCCTCCTAAACAATTAGGAGTCCATAAGAAAGTGATACAAACAAAATATAGAAGTACATATGTCCTCTCTGCTCAAGACACAGCTTATTTTGGACTCTTAACTAAAGCATGTTCAATAAATGTTTAAGTATTCTGCATGAGTAGAATATTCTCTGAACAAAGTTAGGCGTAATTTTTTAATAAAACTATTTTTTTCACTGCTCAAAGTAGGATTAATATAAAACTTATCCTGAACATGAATTCAGAAGATGGGATTTTTTCAGATGGCTACGTGTAAATATTACACTGGTGGTCCTGAGGGAAAGCAGCTTATTAAAATCAATCTGGCACAAGAATCTGGGTCCTAAAGCAATTCTTTTGATCTGTTTCAGACCAGAGCTGATACTCTCAGACAGGAAGTGGATTGCTTATTTAGTCATTGTTTTATTTACCTTTTCTCAGTAGCTATCAGAAAGACAATCTACTGGGCTCTTACCTTTTATTTTCTTTCCCAGCTTAAACACAACTATCCCAACCCAAGTACTAGTACTATTATTATCAGGTATAACAATAAGACGATAAATAAACCACAGGGGGGTTTCCTACCTTTCCTAAATAGGAAACACAGTTGGGAGTCTTATTGTAGGCAACTTTTGGCTCATTCTCATCCCAATATGTTAGAGTAACTTCAGTACCATCTGACCACTGAAATAAGGCAGGTGTATTTATGTTCTTCAGACCTGTCCATGTTGCTTCTTCGGCATCTAAAAGAAAAATGTTTTATTTGTTTGGTTTTACTCAATTACACATTTCAATATGTACATTGTTACTGATTTTTACATTATGATATAGGGCTTTAAGAGCCTTGATGGTATTCTTTTTTCTTTTAAAGTTTTAATTCAGAAGGTAGTTTCTTTCTTTTTTTTTAAAGATTTTATTGGGGAATTAGGGGAGGGGAACAGCATTGGGGAATTGGGGGAGGGGAACAGACAAGTTGCTGTCCTTTTGTTCTTCAGTCTAGTTGTGGAGGACGTGGCTTCACTGGCCCATGTTGATATTGTGATCATTGCACTCTTCCTGGCTGGGGCAGATCAGTCACCGGCCATTGGACGGCCACTCACAGCGGCTCACGGCAGCTCATGCCGACTGCTGGCCGCTCACACTGGCTGCTGGCCACCCATGGTAGCTCACGGAAGCCCACTGCAGTCCCACTGCAGCCTACGCTATTGCTGGTGACTCATAGCAGCCCAGCTCCAGGTTGAGCTGCTATTCACAATCTTAGCTGTAGAGGGCGCAGCGTCACTGTCCATGTGGGATCCGAACTGGCGGCCCTGCTGCTCAGAGCTTGCGCTCCCAAGCCAACTCTTAACCAATGAACCACTCAGCCGGCCCCAGAAGATAGTTTCTTAATTGACCTGTTAAAATGTGGATAAATTAGGCAGGCCAAATGATGAGTGCTTTTCAGGTCACTCCCGTGGGTAGAGCACACAGGCGGAACAGCTGTACCTTGACCTGTACGCTGGGTTTCCTGCTATCCAGTTTAGATAAATCTTGCTTTATGGGGAATGATAAAATTATGCAAATACAACTAGAGATATCCCAATTAGAATACGAATATTGTCCATCAGATGGCTACATGTAAATATCACACAGGTGGTTCTGAGAGAAAGCAGCTAATTAGAACCAATTTGGCACAGGAATCTGGCACAATTCTCTTGATCTGTTTCAGACCAGAGCAGATACTCTCAGACAGGAAGTGGGTTGCTTATTTAGTACCTGGAAGGAATGTGCTGCCTTCCCAGGTAAAACAATTGGCACCATGCTGACACAGAATAGGTATCTACTATTAGCTAGGACTATTAGTGAATCCTAGGAGGACATTATAAGACTGCCAGTGTAGTGTATTTTTGTTCTTCAGTCTTTCGCTTTCAAACAATTACAAAAGTGAAAGAATCATCACTTAAGTGTTTGGAGAACTTAATAAGTACTTCACTTATGAGAAAAGGGAAATTATTTAATCAATTAAAAATTCAGTTCCTCAGTTTCCCTAGCTACATTTCAAGTGCTCAAAGGCAAACAGTGGCTGGTGGCTACTGTACTGGACAGCACAGATTATAGGAGAGTTCCATCACTGCAGAAGAGCCTTTTGGACAGAGCTGATCTATAAGGATCAAACTGTAAGCTTTTCATTCCTGCAGTCTGAAACGAAGGATACTTTAAAATGTTCTACACCTCTCAAATAGGATATTTTAAAAACTTACCCCCTTTATGGAGTTTTGTCACAACCACTTCCACATCTGCTAAAGAATGAATGCTGATGAGGTCACCGCTGTAGGCTTTGCATTTCATATGTGCGTTATCCCAGGAATCATGTTCATTTACCAGCAGATAGCAAAACCCATTATTTGGCAGCCACTTTGCATCACAGCGGGTATCTGAATATGTCCAAACATCTGGGGGGAAAAACAGCTATTTATATTCCAGTACAGTTACGTCTACTGTGAATCAGTAACATTACAAATTCTCCTTTCTTGAATCATAAAGCTTCTGGAAAACTGGGGAATGAAATGTCAGATAGTACAGTGACATGAGTATATGGGGTGCCTAATGTCTACGTAGCATCATAAGAGTGACTGCAGGGATTCCGATGGTATGACTTGAATGTGACACAGATGTGCTCCATGGCTGGGCTCAGATTATTTAAGGAGGGGCTGCCCTTGGTTCCCGCAGGCAGAAGTAAGGTGTGGCGCAACCCAGTTGCTGACAAATCTCTTCCTTGGTATGGAATTTGTTAGGTTCCCCGCCAGCCTCCGCCTCTGAGAGATTATGAGTTGAGTCTCCTTTTCAGGGATAGTCAGCTCAGCAGGGATATGCATTAATGCTCACTGTTGAACAAAGGACTGGCCGACTTAAGGAAAAGAGTCAGACATGTATACACTCCACACCAATAGAGGGCAGCAGTGAAGGGAAAGGGGGGAGGGCATCTCTGGACCTCTTCTCGCCTCCCCTCGCTAGACCTCTAACCCTCACGCAACTAGTGATTCTTTGTTTTGACCATGACAAAACTCACCCGAATGATGGTCAAGAAAGATTAGAAAAAAAAAGAATGATGTATAAAGCCATAGGAAATGCTTCTACCCCTTTTAAAGAACTAGAAAGTAGTTTGGGGATGCAGACTTCATGGATTTGGAACTGTTTGGGATGTTTATTGTACAAAAACATGGCATTTTAAAAATGTGGACACTTTGGTTTTTACGAAAGGATAAAATTCAGGTTCAGCTAGCTTCTCACACTTGCAAGATAACTCAATTAACTTTAAGGTTCTGAAACAGCACTTACTATATTTTACAATTATGATAAAGGAATGGAGCGGAAAAAAATCACACATAATTGAACTTAAACCAATCATTTTCCTATTCTAATCTTTGTCTCTATGAATTCATATTTTTACAAGATTAAAATGATAAGTAGGCACATCATTTTGTTCTGCTCTTTGTATTTTCTTGCTGGCATAGTTATTTTAGTAAATGCATATTATTCAGTCATGTGGCAACACTATGATTTACTTTATTGCTACTACAGGGTATTTATTTGACCTACCATCAGCCTCCCTGGTTTATTTTCATTTGTGATATCTTTTCTATTGTGCCTTTTGTTACATGGGCTAAATTTGGTTTGAATCAACTTGGAAGATAAATGGTCATTTTCCCCTATTATTTTAAAACATCCCCTTACTTTCCTTATTTTATATACTTATTTTTTAACCTTAAAGAGATAGCTTTATGCTCCTATGTGAATAAGAAAATTGATGCTTCACTCCCTTCCCCCATCATCCCTTAAAGCAAGACATTTTTAACCCTCCTTTTTCCGTCTGAGTTTTGAGTCTTCGCTTTTTCTTATTCAGCGAGGATTTAATCAAATACCAGGGACACGGTGGGCACTGTGCGTGATAGTAAGGGCACTCCTCTTCTCCACTCTTGCAAAGACTCCTCAGAAAGTTCAGCTGCCCTGTGTCTCTCTTACCCTCAAACTCCCTGGGAAAAAAACCTCTCCTCGTCCACATTTTGTCCTTCTGCACCTCTCCTTTTCTACCTGATTAATCAGCATGAAGACCTAAGGACCCAGAGAAGAGGTGGGCATGGTGGGGCCGGAGGTGGGAACGCCTGGCAGTGTGCCTGTGCCCATCCTTTCTGACTTCTCACAGAAGCAGGTGGTAATACATGAGAGCTGAGTGTGCAGCAGCGGCACCAGGAAGCATCTTACAACACAGATAGCTGGGTCCCAGCCACCCTGGGACCTCCTGGTTTGGTAAATCTGGGATAGGTCCTGAGAATCTGCATTTCTCATAAGTACTGGCAATGCTGATACTCGTGGTCTGGGACTACACTTTGAGAACCATTGCTCTAGTAAAAAAAACAGCCACCTGAGAACAGAAATGTATTTCCTGTCTACAATATCTTTGCCTTCTTGTGGGCATATACCAAACCACAGTGTTATTCAATTATAGTTGATAATATCTAACCACAGGGATCAAAATCAGTACTTTTCTGCACTGGCAGTATTCGGTGAAAGAACAGTAGAAGAAATGGATTGACTTGACTTCACGAAACTGTAATTTTAAGAACTATAGAGGGCGCCAAAAAAATGTATACACATTTTAAGAAGGAAAATACTGTATTAAAATTGTAATACTCAATATATACTGATAACAAAAGATAAATACAAGTCACTGGTATACATTTTTTGGGGCAACCCCAGTATTTGTACAAGGAAGTGAGAAAGATACCTGTTAACTCCACTGTGTTATTTAATGGTTTCTTGCAGATGTAGGACAGTTGAGCGTCACAGGAAAAACTCTTCCAGAGACCAGACGTGGCATCCATGGTTGCACAGCTTGACCCACCTATGGTAGGTGTGCTGGGCATATCTTCAATAATAAAATTTTTCAACAGTTAAAAGCAAAAGGTTAGAGCCAGAGTGATGGTTAGAAAAGATCATTTGTATTCCCAATATTCTGCTTTTATGAGAACACATAAAATAGTTAAAAACTTCTACTAAATTGAAATATATCAGCCTAAATGGCCAATCATGTGCTTAAATGTGTCTTTCTTCTAAAAATAGAATGCAGGGGAAACACTCTGATATACTGCAGTTAATTAAAAAAAAAATCTCAAACCAAAAACCAAACCTCTGCCCCCAATCAATACCCATGTCACATCCTGCGGCCAGTAGCTCTTAATCTGCTACTCTATACAGCAAATATACTAATTTATGATTCTGTAATGCCTTTAAGACCTTGAATTACAGATTAAATTATCTTCAAGGATTCTACTTACTGAGATAATAGAGAATTTATTTACGAATAATGAAATTTCATTTAAGTAAAATGACCTATTGGTATTTTATTGAACTTAACTCGTTTTTGTGTGTTGTTATTTTTTATGTGTGTTCACAATACTTTAGTATTGAAGCTAATGTTAACTTTTAGGTTTTATGTTTGTCAGAAGCCTAAGGTTTGATTTTTTGAAAAGGTATTCAGATATTTGGCATCTCTGCAATAAATCAAAGGACACTGTTCAGACTTCTATACCCAGGGCTGTTCTTAGAATCTTGAAAATGAGCCACTAATAGGGCTATAAGAATACAGTGGAAATGATGCAGTATGCTTTGAGAAGCAAGGTCATTAAGAAATTTTACAGTTTCTGCCTGGTCAACTGCCATCCACGATATCCAACCACTGTGACTGCTAAACTGTGAGGTAGCCCAAGCCAGCCACTGGGACAGAGGCCACGTAGACAGAGATGACCATCCTGCCGTTGGCTATTCTAGACATCCCAGCTCTGGCTCCTGACATGTACACTCAGTCTTAGCCACTATCTGACTGTATAAAGTCAACTGTATAAAAGACTCCAAGTGACAACCAGCCAGCCAAGCCCATCAAATCCCAGAACTCTATTAGAGAAAAATAATGAATTGTTATTTTAAACCACCTGACATCATCATTAACTGAAAGTTTAACCCAATTTATCTGCACCCCAATTTTCTCATTTGTAAAATGAAGATGAGCAGAGAATTGCTGCGTGGATTAAATAAAATTAAATAAGGTAATGTAAAAAAAAAGGAAGGTTTCTCCAACCTTCTTTTTGGGGAAAAAAAATCTTTTGGCTAACTAGGGTTTTATTTGTTTTATTCACTACAGATTTTTCTTTAAGGAATTAAGATTTATTTGTGTAATATAGCTATTATGCTGCCAGTAATTGGGTGCTACAGTGCTACAGTGGGAGACCCCAAGAGTTTTATTTTTTTTTAAGATTTTATTGGAGAATTGGGGGAGGGAACAGACAAGTTGCTGTCCTTTTGTTCTTCAGTCTAGTTGTTGCTTCACTAGCCCAAGCTGGCACCATCATTGCGCTCTTCCCGGGCGAGGCAGATCAGTCGCCAGCCTCTGGACAGCTGCTCATAGCAGCTGCTGGCTGCTCACGCTGGCTGCCGGCTATACACGGTAGCTTATGGCAACCCACTGCAGCAGGGGACTGCAGCCTATGCCGTCACCAGCGACTCACGGCAGCCCAGCTCCAGGTTGAGCTATTGTTCAGCATCTTAGCTGTAGAGGGCAGTGTCACTGACCCTCATATGTGGGATCCGAACTGGGGCCCTCTGGCGTCCCAAGCCAGTTCTTAACCATCGCGCCACTCGGCCAGCCCAAGAGTTTTAAAATGAGGGAATATTTCCATATTAGAGTTAAGCTGCAGATGAAACACAATGTGGGTCAGCATAGACATGGTAAGTCCTCTAAGAGGCATAGAATGGCTCCTGGGCCACGTGGTGGGGTCCATTCTGCCTTTACCTAACCATGTATGGTTACTATAAAGGTTAGAGGCAAGTTGCCCATGGTGTGGTTCAACTTGGCTATCATGGTATCAACTTGGCTATCATGGCCTAATGGCTATAATGGCTAAGCTTAAGAAGATCTTAGGAAAAAAATTCTTCTGAGAGATAACCATGATGAGAGTTGTCAAGATTTGAAATTCTTTTAAGTTCTCAATAAGTGGGAAGCTCGTACTTACTTACTTGTGTATGTATGTACATATGTATGCATGTATGTATGTATGCATGCATGCATGTATGCATTTATAGCTTTTGCTCTGTGCATAGTAGGTGGAGGAGAGAGCAGTTACCTGGGTCCCAGTTGAGAAAGTTTAATGGCTTTTGGTCAGACCATTCCCAGCCTCTAGAAGAATACAGCTGATTTAAGCCAATCCAGAAAATTCTTGCAATGCCTTCTTTTTCTGTAAGAATTACATAATTTTAACAAGAGACAAAATTACCTGTGTTATTATCCAAGTCAAATTTAAGATACTACTAATAGCATTATCTGAAGGCCTTCATTGTAAGGCAGGAATCCTTCCCTGTAGGAGGCTGTCTATCCAACAAGGCAAGTGACGCTGATAGACAACAAAACCTCAGACTACTGAGAAACGCAAAGTCTGATGATTCAATCCTGCTTTCCCATTAGCTTGTGTAATTCCCTTTCTTCTAAGGTAAGAACAGAATCTTTCAGAATAGCTGTTTCACTGCTTGTAACCCTCTTGTCAGAAAGCAGTTGTAATGCAAGGAGATGTAAGTACAGCATATGAAATATAGTTTTAATATTCTAATAACTATGTATGGTGTCAGATGGGTACTAGACTTATCAAGGTGGTTCCCTTTGTACAGTTTATAAATGTCTAATCACAATGTTAAACACCTAAAACTAATATAATATTGTATGTCAACTGTAATTGAAAAATAAATTTTAAAAAAGCAGTTAAATATTAGAGAAAAAGCAATTTCCATCGCATGTCTAGATTTTGAAGATCTGATTGTATTCCAGACTGGCAGTTTAAATTCATTAAGAACATACTATTTGCCAGGTACTAAAGATACAAAAATAAGAGTTCCTGCCCTCATGAGGATTTCAATCTAGTAGACAGGATTTGTGGATCTCCAAAATGGTAAAGTGTTACCAGTACTGTTTTAGAAATATGTACAGAAGCTGTTTGGCATACAGCTCTAAAGTGCAAAGGAGACATTTAGGCTGGAGATACAGAATAGGAGACAGACAGACAGACAGACAGACACACACACACACACACACACACATACACACACACACATACACACTACAGTGGAGATGTATCATTGTAACTTATCAGTTGACAACAAGATGCCATCAGCAAAAAATAGAAAGACAGAGAAGCAGAAACAATTTAAATAGTGAGGCCACCTGCAGATGTGCCAACATGCATATACCCACAAGCAATGGATGCAACCATGCTACTATGGGTCCATGTGCATTGGAAAGAGAATGTAAAGAATGTGTGAATTACTGTAAAGATTTTCATACCACTGTCAGGGAAGTCCACAGGTTCTTATTCAAGAACCTGGTAAGACTTCAAAGACATCATGAAGGAAAAATGTGAAGATATTTAGGGTCAGGTAGAAGAGATAGAACCACTGAAAAAATGGTCTACAGAAGACAAGGATGATATTGACAGACAGGAAGAGCTCACAGGTTGGAGTCTCTATACATTTGTTGAAATAGTCTTAGCAATAAAACATTTGATAACAGTTTCATAATTCCTCCCAGGGAATTATGTATGATGTATTATTGTATTATATATATAAAATCTATATATCTGTATATATGCATATGAAATAATTACATTTTATATGTACATTAGGTTATATACCTATAAATGATTTTTAAAGAATGGATATGTTTTCTACACGCAAACCACACAAATACATCTGATACACAGAGGGTGCCAAAAAAAATGTATACACATTTTAAGAAAGAAAAAAAACTATATTAAAATTGTAGTATTCAATATATACTGATAACAAAATATGAATACAAGTCATGTGTATACATTTTTGTGGCACCCCCAGTATATTTTGTTCCATTATATATATCAGATATATCTGTGTGATTTGCATGTAGAAAAGTATATTCATACATTACTTTTTATTTAGCTCTATATCTATGTGATTTGTACAAAGAAAACCATATCCACACTTTACCTTATATACATATCCGTGTGACTTACATATATAAAACCTTATCCATATTTTTAGGGCTTTTTGAGGGTACTTTTGACTATACACAATTTTTTGCCTTACTGCAGATTTTAGAACAGTCTACACCAGGCGACTCCACTGGGACTGACACCTAGGCAGTGGAAGCGCTCCTCTGGGCAGAGCACAGATTGCAATGGCAAAGACGGAAGGAGCCAGGAGCAGTAACACAGACACCAACATTCAAGGGATGGGCAGGTGTCCGGAATGAGGGCTATTAGGACACAGGCCCAATTACGGCTCCACCAATGAGCACAAGTGAGGTTAGGAGTGAATTGCAAGATACACTGCACTTTCTAAGAGCTTGACTGTGGAAGAAATAGACAGGGCTTCAGGAACAAGAAAATATATATATATCAGTTCCAGTAGGGTCACCTGGTGTAGACATTGAGTTCTAAAGTCTGCAGTAAGGTAAAAAACTGTGTATAGTCAAAAGTACCCTCAAGGGCCCCCTGAGTGGCGCGTTGGTTGAGAGTTGGCTTGGGACACCAGCTCTGAGCAGCAAGACCCTGGTTTGGATCCCACATGAGGGCCAGTGACGCTGCGCCCTCTACAGCTAAGATGCTGAACACAGCTCAACCTGGAGCTGGGCTGCCATGAGTCGCTGGCGACGGGCGTAGGCTGCAGTGGGGCTGGCCGGCAGCTGGCATGAGCCACCGTGAGCTGCCGTGAGCTGCTGTGAGTTGCCGTCCAATGGCCGGTGAGCGACTGCCTCACCAGAGAAGAGCGCAATGATAATACCAACATGGGCCAGTGAAGCAATGTCCTCCACAGCAAGACTGATGAAGAGAAGGACAGAATCTTATCTGTTCCCCTTCCCCAATTCCCCAATTAAATCTTTCTTTTTAAAGTACCCTCAAAAACCCCTAAAAATATGAATATGGTTTTATATATGTAAATCACACAGATATGTATACAAAGTAAAGTGTGGATATGGTTTTCTCTGTACAAATCACATAGATATAAATCTAAATAAAAACTAATGCATGGAGATTATATATATTTGTATATACAGAGGGTAGCAAAAATGCATACAAATTTTAAGAAAAAAACTATTAAAATTGTAATACAATGAATTACACTAGCATTTATTTGATTAACGCCATCTTTTGAGCAAACATCATACTACACATTGCTACTGTAATTCAATTCAATTTCGAAAAGTAATACATAGATAACATCTCTTAAAATGTGTACATTTTTTGGCACCCCCAGTATATGTATGTATGTATGCATGCATGTATTTATTTTTTTATTTGTTTATTTAGTTATAGTTGACATTCAATATTATTCTACATCAGCTCCAGGTGTATAGAGCATTGGTCAGGCATCTACACAATCTATAAAGTGATCTCCCTGTAAGTCCAGTACACATACAAATCCTTTCACTTAGGGTTAGAGCAGCAGTTTAATCTTGCTACCTCACCCCATTTTCTGAACATTAACCTCTCTTTAGTCTCCATCATGAGATGTCTTTTGAATGGATGGAACAGGATTATATTCAGTGCTTTTTTGCTTGTGGGTTTCACTGCTGAACTTTAAATACCAAGAGAAGATAGAAAAATATATACACAAAACAACACACCTGGATATGAAAATAGAGGAAGACAGACAGCATCTTTATAATTTCAGTAATTTGCTCTACCACATGCAAGTGCAACTTACCTTTAAGATAAGTTAATTCAGCAGCATTGTTGATGCTCAGTAACTCAGCTCCTTGATTCTGACATGAAACATAAGCTTCTTTCCAAGAAAGAGCTGCCTGAGTATTAAACTGGTAGCAACTTCCAATCTGCTCATTCTTTTCCCAATTATCTTTACAGCCATTTTCTGTTGATAAAAAGATATGTCAGTGATCACAAAGTAAAGACATAATGTTTTCTATTACTTAGAATGCTTATAAATACTGAAATTCAATTTGCGTACTCTTAGGATATGCTAAGCTTAGTGCCTGACTAGACCACATTATTATTATTATTATTATTATTATTATTATTATTATTATTTTAAGATTTTTATTGGGGAATTGGGGGGAATGAGAATAGTGCTGGGTAATTGGGGAAGGGAAACAGACAAGTTGCTGTCGTTTTGTTCTTCAGTTTAGTTGTGGAGAACATTGCTTCACTGGCCCAAGTTGGCACCATCATTGCGCTCTTCCCAGGCAAGGCAGATCAGTCGCCAGCTTCTGGACAGCCGCTCACACTGGCTGCTGGCTACACA